TCAGCCGCGTTAGCTTCGGTTGGCGAACCTTTTTTCTAGTGCTTCTGTTGCCCAGTTCTATTCTCCTTTTCCTTGGTTCTATTTGCACATACCACACCCCAATTCCTTTCTTACTCATACACAGACACTTAGTCTTCCCCTTTTCATACCAGCCTGATTCAAATACTCATACACACAAGAAATAAACATTTACTAACGTATTACTCAAAACAATAGTTAGCAAAAGCTAGAGTTACTGTTGAACAGTTGGAAAAGATGAATGATGATTTGAAAAAGGATAATATGAGGTAGTTATTTTCTTGTTCTTTTCCAATCTTCCCATTTCACACAAAGCCTTTTTTCTGCATCCAATCGAATTGGATCACATTTCCCCGCCATTCAAATCATATCATCCCCCTTATTCCTTCCGCTCTTCCACGGGATTTGCTGCTTGCTTTTTAATTGCTATTACATTGGTATTGAAATTTGCGAAGTGTGAAATCTCGGCTGATTATAGATTGTTTTGCTCACGCTAGGTCATTAGAATCAATTTCAGACGTCTCTGGGCCAGCTCGTAATGAATAGCTCTTGACATAATATTATCCTCCTTTCATTTCAGAATCTTCCAACATATTTCAGAATTTCAACCTTTTCCGCACTTCTTGCGCATCATGTCTCAGCTCAGCTTATGTCAACTTCTTAATCAGCAAACTATTTCTTCAGTGCTTCTCTTCATTTCATGTCGCCGATGTTTTTCATCATGTTTCGACTGTTTAATTCGACTTTTTAATGCATCACCTACAAACGTTCTTAGTTCATGGTGGTTTCTTGTCTTGACTTGGCTTTATTTTAAAGTCTAATAAATCGACATACTTTGCCCGATACCCGAAATATAAAACCTTTCTATACCCAACTTTACTTTTTGGCTTTTTTGCATTTATTTGCTAGCTTCGATTCTTGCATCTTGTCAGTGTTCGCAAAGATATAAGCAGAAACTGAAGGCTGGATGGATGGATCTGGTATCATCTTTCTTCTTCTGGGGTGCACTTTTTAATAGGGTTTGACGAATGGATGTATGGGTGGATAGATGGATGGTATGGTATGGAATGGTGGGTTGGAAGGGGAGATGGATTAGATGGGAATTTGTATGTGAGGTGAAGTCAAGTGAACACGGATGGTGAAGAGTACATGCTTGTTAAGAATGTATGCATGGACTTTTGAGTAATGAGAATGAAGATTCGTGGTTTTATTGAGTTGTTTGATGTTTGATATTTGATCTCTGAGTGATGAGTGGTGAGGTGGTAATGATGTGAAGTGCATGTCTGAGTTTTTAATGGTTCAGATCACAGTGTGATAATTGGAAGTGTTCATAAATCCAATTGAATGATTTGAAATACTGAGCGCACTATTAATGCTGTACTGCTTTTGAACATTGGGAGCTCATTTGATCGAGTGCATTGCTCCGGACTCCGGAACACTGAGTACCCTGATTATTCGTCCTATGGCTGTTGAGTGAGATGGTGATGTGAGGTCTATACTTGAGTAATTGGCTAGAGGCGGTGCAGGTGCATACACTTAAAAGGGTTCGCTGACATCCTCGTTTCAAATATCTCGAACTCCATCTTCTGACGATGTCATTGCAGTCTCATACGACTCGATCGTGGTCAATAGTATTCCAGAAAGATTGTGTGTGATTGAATTTGTAGGATATGATATTATAGGAAGTTATTTAGACCTTATGAAACCATGTTGTGCGAGCAATGAAACTTGGCCGCCGAGCCCTGAAGTAGCACTTGTAACATTGCCAAGTTTCCGGGACTCTGTTTGCTTGATTATCACCAATTTGGTATCGCATGGATATGGACTTTGTGACTTTTCCAGTGCTTTCTCCATTTGCTTGGAGGCCTCTTGGACGGAATCACTTTTCCCTTTACTTTCGAGGTGGTAGTTATTCTTTGGCGCGGAGGTGTTGGGAAATCTGAGGGAATCGGACGCTTCAACGTGTGAAATACTGTCTGCGATTGTGATAACGTGGAGCTTGAAGGAATTATCTTTCCTGGTCTTGCTCGAGTAGCTTGAATTGCACATGGATTGTGTGTAATCTTGGTTGGCTCAGGTAATTCAAGAGTTGGTTCTCTGGCTGGATAGTAAGTAGGATGGGGTCCCCTTTTTTGTGGACCGACTGTTGGCTGAACTTTCGAGCCATTAGTGAAGCCATTCTTTGGCTGCAAAGGAACAACCTGAATCCACCTCTGAGAGCCCCAGATTGATGGTTGGCGGACATGTTGGTGGCTTCTTTCTGTTTGTGTTTTATGACTTGTGTGTGAGGATTATTTTGAGAACGAGTTGAAGTATTTATGGTTGTAAGTGAATTCACGGTTTCCAAATATAGCCGTGGATATTTTATATCCTCCTCAGTAGCTGCGATAATAATAGTTTCATCTTATAGTTCCTTTATATAATAGAAAGCTTCAGTTTCAAATCATGTGACTAATAACAAAGCTTGAAGTGAAGTAGGTATATGAGGAGAAATTTACCTCGCTTGTTTACTTTAAGTAATTCTTTCGGGGCTTTTGATTCTATACTTGAGTGATATCTTCACACTACGCGTGGAGATTCATCATCCTGAGTATAAATCTCCACAAAAACAGTCTCTACAGTTGCAACTATTATGTTTTGAGTTGCTTCCTTTTAATACTTTATAGCGACAATATGCCTTCGCTTACGGACTAAGTTTTAGACGCGACGTATAAAATCGAAACTCATATTGCAGAAATAGTCACAATTCTGGATGGTTATATGTGATGGACTGTCATCAGCAGAGGAATGCACGTCAGATTCTAGGGGGGAATCATTGCGTCTCGTTTGACATATTCAAACCAATTCAATTGAACCTGGTTTCCGGAGAAAGCTATATTGCGTAATTAAACAACAAAGATTTATTTCCGTTGTCAAATATGAGGTATATCACAAAGCGGGCAGAGAGTCTTAGTATCTACGGTTATATGCAACTGCTAGGGCATGGTCGTTGCGAGTTGGCCAAGGCAATAGCCTTCGCCAATGACAAGATAATGACTGAGGCTTGTGTCCTCTGGAGAAATTCGAAGATTCAATGGATGAGGATAGCCAAGCCTGATAGAGAAAAGCTTGTGTTGAGAAATTATAGGTTGCAGATCATTGATGTATATTAGCGAGGGGAGACAGAGCCATGGAAGTCAAAGTGATGGAAGCTGAAGTGATCAATTGATTGCAAATAGATTCCGAAAATAGCAAGAAAACGTGTGTGTTGACACCCGTTGATGGCCTTCCATTACATCTTTATATACATCAAATCATGAATATTACTAACCGGAACAACGACACTTCAGTAACCAGTTAATGGAATCGTTTTCTCTTCTTCATATTTTAAGTTTTGGTAATTATAAATATTGACATTTTTGTGCTTTGAATCGAAAATCAGACCATGTTTTGAGCCAGTCTCCCTTTAAGTTCGGTAAGTGCATTATTTGTAGTTATTCTTTTTGTTATATAATATGATTGTTAGATAAAAAACGATTGATTCACGATACTCAACCACAAATTCAATCAAACTCAATTCAAACCAACTTCTTTCCCATCATCACCTACCTCTAGGCACAACCCATACCAACAACCATCTCATTAGAAGAAGCCCAACAGAATCTATTCGACCCAGAAAAGAAATGGTATCTTCATATCAATATAACAATGATACAGTATCAATTATTCTAATTCTCGGTACAACATTCATCCCTCACTATCCTCTATCAACCCACCCCAATCCAATCCTAACAACCCACATTCACGCTCCTCTTGTCAAACCCAAACAAACAAAAAATCCATGCATCGATTCAAAACCACTCTTCCTCCCTAGAAGTAAGCAATCCCCAATTCTTCCCCCTAGTACTCATCCCCCAAACCAACCACAAAATAATGACTCACCCCCCTTAATCTCCCATCACTTCAAAAAAACTTAAAAGCAAAAAGGAAAATGCGTTCGCCGGGAATCGAACCCGGGGCCCATCGAGGTTGTTTCACACTCTTCTGATGAGAGAAGAGGTTGATGGCAACGATGGATTTTACCACTAAACCACAAACGCTGGTTCTTGTTGTTATTGATGAAAAACGTCCTTAGCTAAAAATATAAACATACGTGTTCACGCGGTGGGGTAGTAGCACTAGACCAAACAAAACAAGTATGTGGGACGCTTAGTGGGGACGATGGCTCTACACCAGCGAAATAACAGGCTAGAATTAACCATCATTTGAAAGAACTTCAACAATTCAGATCTCTTTTAAGTATCATATTAAATAACAATCCTTCTGATGTATCAAGAAAAAAGAGCTCGAATTCTCGTTTGCTCTTTTCAGATTTTGATATTGATTTTGATATTGATTTTGGAATGAATGAATAGTATAATGAATAAGTGGTATTGAGATAGGCTCAAAAAAATTAAATTCCGCCTGCTTTTTCGCTTACGTAGAGTATGGATGCGATGAATCTCTGTGCAAGCGAGAATAGTGAAAAAATGGAAACGTATTGATCAGTCGCCGTAGTACTTCACTACCTGCCTAGGTATGCGTATCTACCTAACTCTCAATCAAACCACCATTTATAATTCGTGAATGAATGAAATCTCAGTGCTTAAGTTCTCTTGTTACGAAAATTTCAATTGCTTTTACCTTTGAATTGGAATGAAAGCTGGTTAGGATTCGGCATACAATTAGAATGCTCGTGTAAGTTTGTCATTGTATGGGATACTACTAGCTAAATCCTAAGCAGATTGGATAGCCAGGAGGACACTTAGACTTTACAAAATAAGAAAAACAGTGTAATGATAGCTAGGGAGCACAATGGCTCCATCGCTCAGCGATGCTCATCATTATCAACCTATATCCACTCATTCTACCTAGCCTTGAGATTACCGAAACTCTCTGTCATCTATAAAATAATCACTGTATCGGGAAATTGTTGGTTGAGTGCACTACTCCAAACTTTTGAGCTAATTGTTCATTACAGTTATCCCCTCTTCACTACTAATGAAAGTGATCTGTGGATTGCTTCTCACCATAATGATCCATTCATCGAAGTCCCTATCACGAGATAAGTTTTCGGATTTTTGGAGACTATCGTATGGAAGATTGTCTGGTATCGCTCACCATCGTACGGGAGTCATTGTTAGTTGGATGACTCTTGTCACCAAATATTGGTTCGGGATTTGCAGCATGTGAATGAAGAGGCCAGTCTAACAGACAACGTACATGGTGCACGTATGAAATCATCTCTGGGATTTATAAGCTCAGATGACTTTGTCGGCTCAGAAGTAATAGTGGTCTTTTTCAGATTGTTTACTGTAACATCGTTCTTATCTCCACGCATTGAAATCGATGCGGATCTGGCCTTTCCATGGATTTGATTGCCTTCAACCTCATCACCAAACTCGACTTCGCATATTTCACCAAGATCGCTTTGATTAGAACCATTACTTTCGACCATTAAAAGGTCATCTAGATGATCCAAAGCTAAACCCTTCACTTTGGCACTCTCAAATCCCAACGTCGGGTGTACCATTGTGATCAATACTTGGCATAATCTGCCTGGTCCCTGCAGCTCGCGGACTCGAGTTCTATAATCGCCCTATGGAACCGACTTCTCATACTCCACTTGAGGCTGTTCTATACTAGCGCGTCTCCAATTTTTTCTTGCTAATGTCGTTGCAGTCTTGTTCTCCCGGGAGTTCTCTGCATTTTCCCAATTTCGCTTGTCTCGACATATGTATCCAGGAACTTCTTCTTCTCTTCTGGGATGGTGATGTAATCGTCCGTGTACACACCGGGGTGAAAGCTTACTGCTCTATACATTGACACTTGGTCTGCAGAAGCAACGGCACAGACACTAACATCACACATATGATTGTCGGCTTCTGATAACTGAGTGAGCAAAACTTGAACCTTGTCCTCTAATACGGTTGGGTCGAGTTTGATAGAATTGCTATGCGGAAAAGTCTCACCACCTTATCTTACATCCATTGTATTCTCTTCGAACCTATAAACAAGACAAGTTCAGCTCTTGTTTACACAATCGGAGTGACCAACAACAGCATAGCTAACCAAGTCGATATCTCAAAGCGTTATTCGTTAGATCTTCAAACAATTGCCATTCGGCCTCTTGCTACTTGGTAAAATCGCGAACTATTATATCATCATTCTCATTTTTCTATAGAGCATCAATATGTGTATTTATATGTACTCTTGTTGGAGGCCATGCATCAGGTAGAACTAGGGTGACCGGCATTGTTCGAAAAGATGAGCTGATATTGACTTGACAGATTGTCGGCCAAGTATCGATAAGAAAAAGTAAAGGATGAAAGTATAGTAATTATCAAGTCAAGTTTGATGGCTTGGATGATGTAACTTGTGATTGGTTGGTGGCGATTCATGAATGAGCGATGATAGGATTAGGGGAGAGGTTTGTAAGAGTGTGGGGAAGAGACTGTGGGGTAGCTGGCTCTACTTTATAGAGTATATGAGCGAAACGAATTTCTAGGAAAGAGCAATTCACTATCTAGGTATAGCTGAGTATATATTTCTTATTCAACCATCTCATTAATTGATAGAATTACAAAAAATCAAATAAATTCGCGCGCAGATGAACAAGTGAATAGCAAAGTAAATCAAATACAATCATCGCTTCCATCCCATCCTATATCTTCTTTCCATTTCCATCTCTCTTTCTTTTCTCTAAATCCGAAATTCATCATTTCGTAAATTTGTAATAAAATACAGTGCTGTTGCATCCATTCAAGTTCAAGTAACAAATCCACGCTCGCTAGTAACCTTCCAATCACATCTCTAAAATCGCTGATGAGTCGTATTCTTCGTTAATATCATGAGGATCACCAAGCCCCAATTCAATAATATCTGTCATTAACCCCCTCGTGACCTCTTCCCTCACTCCTTCTAGTCTTCTCCTCATAAGCCGTATATCTTTCCCGGCTATCATCTCTATCCTTATCCCTTCGACTCCTTACCGAATCTCTCCTTTCCCTTCCACTTCTTCCTTCATCCCTATCCCCACTCTCTCCATTCTCATCCGTCTTCCCATCCGGATATTTTTTATCCCATTTCTTCTGTTTCTCCTTCGTCTCCTCCTTTCCATCCTGCCACTTATCAACCACAGCATTAGCCAACAATCCTCCCGCCGCAGCTCCAAGTAACGTATAGATCTTTGCCCGGTCTCCCATATCCTTTCTATCCTTCCCTGTCTGTGATTCTTGAAACTTTTCAGCCGCCCATCCTCCTGCAAGTGCCCCAATCGCTCCTACTGCTAGTCCCTTTGGTGAATCTGTGAATAATCCTTTGGCTTCATCTTTAAGTCCATAGCGTTCGACACGATCCTTCATGCTACCCGTATGTGAATCTTTAGATTCACCATGATCAGATCGAGGCCTGCGACTGGTGTTACGAGTGGAGAGTCTTTGGTCTGTATTTGAGGGGTAAGATTTGCGTTGACTGTGGATATCATCGTAGGAACTACTTCTTTGAATAGGTTTTGGTCTGCGTGTTCTCTCTTTTTCGTATCGTTCATCCGAATCATGATTTCCTCTCCTTTCATCTCTGTCGAATGGGTCTGGGAACGGTGCTATAGGTGGAGGAGGGAAATAGTAGGGATTTGAACTAGCAGGATCTAATGGCCGAGGAGCACTGTACTTTGGAAGATATTCGGGACGAAGACGTGGTGGTTGTTGACTGTATGTCTGCGATGGTGGAGAAGTGGATCGATTTGATTCTTCATAAGGATACCCGTATCCATAACCCGTACCTGTACCCGCACCACTATGTCTTGGAATATCCCTCAAATCTCTATCTCTCTCCCCTTTCGATTCCCAATTCCTATCCCTCATATTTCTTTCGCGTTGTCTAGATGTATAGTCGGGTTCGGAATCGTAACCTGCTTCTTCGATTTCTGGATTGCTATATGGTTTTTCTTGTCTTTTTTGTGTTCCTCTTTCCCAGTCGTCTCGCTCTCGCTCATCTCTTGAATCTCTTCGTCGCTCTGGATCTTGTCCTTGATCTCGAGAATTTCTTCGTTCCTCTTTTTCCCTACGTTTTCTCCTACTCAATGTAGAAGGAATGCGCGGTTTGTAAGTTTCTTTCCTAAATGCTTTATCAGGAATCTTATGAAAATGTTTGTCGACGAGAACATCGGTTGCTTGGAGACCTATGGGAAGGTAATCCATTTTGATAGATTCGGGTTGGCCCGTAGTATCGCGTGGTCTATAGTATGGTTCGTAGTACAATGATGAAAGTTAAGGTTCGTTCCTTGATTGAACTATGATGCAAGGTTCAATTGATGATTCGTATTGGACGGAATAAAGTAAATGAAGAGCCTGGAGGGGTGGGAGGAGTTGAATTGAGTTTAGAGGCGTGACCCTTAAGACGGGACGATTCGTAATTGGTTTCTTGGTTACTTGGTAGTAATGTATACCTTGTACCGTGGTATAAATTGATGTTTGATAGTAACAAATGATTCGATAGTAAAATCCAGACACTTTGGATTTCCTGTAAAATGTGTGAATGTACCTAGTAACGTCGAACGTCGAACGCCGAAAGCAAAGTAACAAGAGTGAAGGGATAGACCTTCTCCAATATATCGGAAATTCTTCTTAGCTTTATCGTCTTACAAATTGAGGGTCATGAGGTTATTTTCCTTTTTTCCCCTTTTTTCCCTTCCCTTTGCAATTTTGGTATGCGTGGCACTCGATTAAAGGAATCCCGATGTTTGCGTGGGGGGAGTGAGGCCGGAGTGAAGATTGCAAGTGATAAATTCCATCATCGTGCATATCGACTGCATGAAGTGAGATTTGTAAGGGAACCAACAAGCAAAAATCAAGAGGGAAGATAAGGGGAATTACGCCTCGACTACGTCATTTATGCGACACGTGACTCAAATGTTGGAGGCCGGCGACCATAACTACCTAGGTATATGTACACAACCAACGCAGCGTTACCATTCGATGTCTCCACCCGAAAAGTCGAAAGACCAACCAACCTTTTTCTAATCAACATTTACCAGATCCAAGGGCCCGCGCAATGGCCCGATGACCAAAAGTTGATCATATAAGGCATAAACGATCTACCAACCCAATGGCTGTCAGTTAGCAAACTCTGAGCCTCAAAGTCTCACGGTGAGACAGATGTACTGCATGCATATCTACCGGTACTTACTCGGAAACAAATCATCTACGTAGTACCACCATACATACTTTACTTTGAAAGGGCGGTATGATCGAGGAGCCACGACACTACTCTGTTCATCATCCTACAAAGCTAAAGTAGGTACACGTGTGGAACAACGAATCAGTGTTCCTGATATTGAGAAAACTTGTATGGGCATCGAGAATGTGTACTATGCATCAATACCTCGGTAGTCTCTCGACGTCAATGTATGGGGTAGATGCTGAATCTAGACCCGTCTAGATATCTAGGTAGTGTTGTTGAAGAAGCGTTCAAAATCTACAACAAAAAGGGAAACTTTGATTACCATTTACTCTAGGAGGGGTAAGAGGGGAACCCCTGATTGAGAATAGATATGGATGATGAAATTCTAGGAGCAGAACGAACGATTGCGAGAACATTTCATACACACATACTTCGTAGAATCGAAAGCAAGCTCACATGTCACGTGCAAGGTGTATCTCTATCAAGAAATCATTCGAGTTTTATCCATCTGAATCGTTTTGACGAGACGGATACACTCTTACACATGACGGACCGACCACCAGTGAGTGGATGGATGGACTAACGGGACACTTCACTACTTTGAAAATTTCTGATAAATCGATTGTTCAATTCTCATTGAATCATTGTAACTATTCTCTAGATATTGGAACCAGTTTTGCAAGAGATATTGCCAGCGAAATTCGTGTAGTGTCCCGTCAGTCCACGCACCCACTAGTGGACTTAATTGTATTTCGAATTAAGCAGAGTAGTTCTTTCTAAAATTTGAATCGGAAGTTTGCAGAGGTTCGTAGTTTGAAGAAGTTCTTTAGATACCTAGGAAGATATGTAATACTATTTCCGTATCATTAAAGTGTAATCGCTAGCATACAACAGGTAAGGTTTTGAATATCTAAGAACATTTAGAAATTCGAGAACAGTTCAATATTTCAATCAATTTCAATATCTCAAATGATTTGATTTACTCTAATTGGTTTGAGAATTTGATAATCTTTATTATTTGATTGTAGTCCAGACTATTGAATACTGAAAACTCTAGTTATACATTTACACTGAAGAGCTTGACATCCAAGATCTTTGGATTGCTTGAATGTTTGTGATTCATATGAGCATTTAAAGTACTAGGTAGGGTTAAGGCAACTGATACAATGCTACTCTTTCCGAACATGTACTTCCTACTTCCTACTTCCTTCTATCCCCCCTTCTTCTATATTTGTCTTGGATTTTCTTTGGCTCTTCATCCTGTTCAGAATACAAAACCATCCCGACATCATTCATAATTCGATCCAAGCACCTTGCCTGTTCCATGTCGAACGAGGGCTTGGGTCTTAATCCAATCAACTTCCTTTTCTTCCAGGCTACCTTTATCACTTCCTTATGCCTCGTCTGAAACATGTTTTTAGGTAAACCCTCCCAAAGCCTCTCTTTCTTCAGCGCCCTGATAGCCTTTAAAACCCACTTCGTCCTGGATTCTGGCCTCTTCACTCCCATCTCCTCCCACTCTTCATTTGTCATGCTCTCCGGCCTTGTTGCATACGGCAAACATTTCCTAATCCGCAAATACACTTCTTCTTTCCCCTCAATCCTCTTCAACCACCCAATCTTGCACATAAACGTCCTCTGCGCCACCATCACACCGCTCAGATTGCCCCCGTTCACATCGAAAAGCGGATCCGCATCCTCGGTCGCAGGCGAAAAATCCACCGTCTTCATACCCCCAAAATCATTAAACATTGTGCGAAATGACATCGTCGCGACGAAGTTTCCAGACTCCATGTTATCGAATCGATGGAAAATAAGATATACATGTATGGTATATTTATGCGCGGGAGAAATGTCGACGCCGAGAGCAGGAATTACGGGATACCAGGCTCTGCCCTCGTTGTCTTGTCTGGCGGGAGGACGAGCATACTTTTCGCGTCTGTTGTCGTGGTCGTGGTCGTAGTCTTCGCCGCGCCGGTAATTTCTATGGTGATACATGTTGTGGGTGGGGGGTTCAGTCTGGGGCGGAGTGCGCATTTATAAGGTTGTGTATGCTAGGGATGGGTAAGGTCTGGGTCTTCCAACATGAGTGGCCATTAAGATTGACGAGCTGGTCGAAGAGCTGGTCGAAAAAGAAGATTTTCGTCTAAGCCTCCTGGCTAGAACCAAGTTTGACAAGCGTACTGCACCTATTTTTATACTTCATCTTGTCAATTTCATATTAAGATTTCAAGTTGAGGAATTGAGAGTGATTTTGTAAGTTATGTAACCGAAAGGCTAACAACTATCAGAAGTCATCAATGCGGTTAATTCACATCTAGATCTCAGATAAGCAAAGTGAACTCAGTTTCCGTGTATTACTATCATAGATTTATAGATATTGAAATTATTGTGAATGTACAACTATCTCAAAATAGAAGGGGGTCTAGATAATATAGTAAGATAACCATGAAAGTCAATATACTATGCGTGATATTAACAATTCACCTATCGATTGAACTAATCAACGAGAATAATCATAGTACCATCAAGAGTCTCCCTTTTGAAATCCTATACTGATCATACTCCAAATGATTGAATCCAATACGAAGCATCTATTTTCTACATATAAGAATCAAACATTCACAAGCGCCAATACTTCTCAGAATCTCATACCACGAACCCATGTGAATCAGCTTCTCTGTCTCGTCGTATAAATATACTATGCGCACGGTACCGTACAAACACTCTTTAATCCAATAACATGATGTCTCGACGTATCTCAAACTCAGGATTGTAGGTTCCCAAGGATTCAAATCTGCGACAGACCGTACTTACTCCTCGCTTCTGTACGGCTATAGTGAAGTTCATATACTTATAAAATATCTAGTAAATGGACTGAGAGATTCACATAATTGTATACACGAGTTCTCTATAAGATAGTTTTGCAGACGAACATTCTATTCTATCGACAAAAAGTTGGATAACACAGCTTCACTAAGTGCTTATTTCCCAACTTGATATCAATCTTTCTCCACAACTCAATATACAAGATTCAACCAGACATTCACAAATTCCAAAGACCCATTAAGAGAGATCTCAATATGTCTCTTCCAAGTCGCAATTCGCCGACAGTCAAAGCTCTAATCGAAAAGCAGAAGTAAGTCCAATTATCCTTCATCCCATGGAACTTTCATATACTACATGATAGCAAAGACGCATGAGAACACTATCTAACCCCACCCCAGAGAAAAAGAACGTAATACAATCCAAGTAAGAGTAGGCAAGCATAAAAACTTATACACACTCGAAATAGATGTTTTGTACCGACACGCCCCGTTTCTTAAAGGGGCTTGCGAACATTATTCGCGAGGACTTGATCATAGCGCTATCAACTTTCCACAAACAAATGATGTGGTTTTCAAGTTGTTTAAGGCATGGCTTTATAAACTTGATTTGGGCGATGCTGATGAAGAGATTGCGCAGTGGAAAGCTGGGAGGGTGAAAACTGGCGAGAAGGTGCAAAAGGTTGATGAAGGACCGCTTATCGACTTGGACACTTCGAAGGGAAAGGCAAACGCGAAGAAAATTAGCGATTCCCAGAGAGACGAGAACTTAGAGACGACAAGCAGTGACCTAAACACCACCAACAACGTAGCACTAACAAACTTCTGCTACCCGCACATGGCCAATCTTCTCGATCTTTATCTCTTTGCCGACATGGCAAAACTACCACTTCTAAAAAACCAGTGCATCGCTAAGTACTACAAGTTTACCAAAGCAACCGGATACATTATGACACCATGGCTTTCCTACATGTGGAAATACACCACTAAAGAAATGCTAATACGCAAATTCCTTCTCGATTTACTGACGTGGGAAATGCCGCCTTTGTTATTCGAAACGAATTCGAAGGATTTTCCGGGGGAATTGAGATTGGAGCTGCTGGTTAATATGGGATATGTTATTCAGGTGGCGAGGTATGGTACATCGGCCATAGAAAAGAGTAATCCGTTGAATGATCTTAATAACTACTATGAAAAGGTTGAGAAATTGGATGCTTGAGTTGGATATCGATTATGAGTAGAGATAAGCATGTGTGCTTGTGCAGGAATCAGTTCTGCTCGGGGAGGCAGATGGAACTGTGGTGGACTAGCGAGACAGGATCATCAGCAATTGCAGACTGTGGAATCGCGAGCGATTTTTCATGAATATGGCTTGATAACGGGGAGGAAACATGTAGCTTTTGATATTTTTGATGATAATAAAGTGTTGTTCAGATCGCTCCTCACGAGTTATTGGATCTCTGGTGAAGTACGTAAATACACATAATGGTCTACCAGGTATGTATTTGATAGAGGACAAATCACAGCAAAGAAGCAACCTGGCAATAATCCAATTCAACTAAAACATAGAGTAAATATCACTGATATACCCCCTTTCCATAACTCATAATCAAACACAACAACCTAATACATCTACTAATAGTTCCCTGGAACATAACAATGCTCTACAGATCAACAAGCTCGTTTAGAGTCTCGACGCAAGCCAAACTACAGAAATCTTCTATCTCACAAAATCCAGATGTGATATTACGAGTGACATATACACAGGCTAACAGTAAGCTGCAAATAACCTCACCCATCCCCTCTCTTTCTAAAAAAAAAAATGAACACAAAGTCAATCTTCAAAATCACTTGAGACGTTTTGGATCCAACTCAGCAACTAGACTTCCAGCAATCAAGCTACATACCCGGTAGGTATGAGGTACAAACTCTCAAAATGAATATGAGAACCAGCTGTAGTCAAACTTTTGACAGATGAAATAGTTCCCGAATAGAGAGAGAGATAGATCCTCTTAGCAAACCCAGACTTCTGTAATCGAAATAGAAAGGAACTCCTCTAATCTAGAAATAAGTTTCTTGATTCTACAAAAGAGGACTCCATACCATACATACTCATATACTCCATCAAAATCCATCATTACCGTCTAAAAAGCAATCCCAGAAATTCACAGGTGAAGAAGCAGATTAGAACGAACCACCAACAAAACCCTCCAGCTTGAACAATCCAATCTAATTCAACCCAATTCAATATTCCATGTCAATTCAGTTCAAAGAACAAAAAGCTTACATAGTGTCTATCTATCACATAAAAATTATCCAAGAATTTATTCAATACCATCTAGTGTTCAATAACTCTCATAACTATATCCGTAGTTGGTTGATGCATTCTATTATAAAATTTATAAGGGGCATCAATTTTGGTCCCTTTTCTCCTATATACATACATACTCGCACTCCATCCGTAGAGCGACCTTACTATCTGCACCCCATCATCTAATCCCCACACACACTCTCTCACCCCACCAAAAATACCTACCTAGTAATCCGCGCGCAAACGATAAACTCTCATACATATCATATCATTTTACAATCCCATCCCACTACAACTTCCCCCTCAACTTACTTCAATCCAATCCGATCCAATCCAATCCAAACCCCCACCCACCCAAAAATGTCCTCCTCAACCAGTCGTTTCCCCCGCTCCTCGACTCCCCCCGAAAAATCATACTTCGAACAGCAGCGCGAGATTTTACTGGGGGAAATAGCTATCGTATGTTTTCTTCCCCTCTCATTCCCTCCCCCCTCAATTCCCTTGCCTCCCTTCCCCCCCTCGCCCCAACTCCTCATCTCCAAACCCCAGTCAAGAAACCAAAATAAAACAATCCACTAACCCTTCCCCCAATCCAGTCATTCGAACACGTCCTCTCCAGTATAAACAAACTGAATCGGTCTCTAGAGGGTGTAATTGCTGTATGTTCCCCTCTTCTCCCCTCTCTCCCTCAATTCCCCTCTATCTTTCACCCCCCTTTCATTTCCCCACTAACCCCCCTCCTCAACAGGTCGGCAACGAATTCTCCTCCGTCGAAGCCCTCTGGTCCCAATTCGAAAACGTCATGGCCAAAGATCCCTCTTCCGACTCCCCACCCGAGGAAGATTCACAACAGGCACAACAACAACAACAACACAGCAGCAGTAAACGCGAAGAGCACAAAGCAGAAGAAACGCTTATGGAGGATGATACACGGGTTTAAGTTTACGAGTTGAGAAGAAGGCAAGGCAAGCTCTAAATGTGCCGAGTTGGGTCGGGCCTATGGACCGCATATATCATGATAAAGATGGCAAGGCAAGAGGAGTTCTGGACTGGAGTATGATTGATACCCTTTGTTACGTTTCATTCTTCTAGATTTCTCACGATTTTCACATATTCCACCAAAACGACGGAATTCGCAACATCTACAATAAATTGAACTCGAAAATCAATAAATTATGTATACGTAAGAGTATGATATGCATTGTCTACCCACAAAGTTTCGTTATACATAAGAAAGAGTCGATACGATACGCTCGCCCAAAAACAGTTTGTTGTGTTCACAGTTCCTTCAATTCCCTAACTGATTCACAAGAAAGTCAAAAAACCCACGCAAATCAAAAAAGCCTAAAATAAAAAATTACCGGAGAAAGTCCAGTCCAGTCCAGCTCCAGCGGTATGAGAGTGCGATGAAAAACCAAGTAGGAAAAGAATAAAAAGGCTAATGACCATGTCGCAATGCTATTTGATGCAATGCTCAATTTCCTAAAATCTGCCCAATAGTTGCAGATTTTCACAATTATACACTCCTCGTTATGTTATGCAGTTCGTATGTCGTTTCAAAATATCATGCTCATGTCGTACTTTGTTGGGATGCGTAATGGTGATGATTTGGTGAAGGATGGATTATTACAAGAATCGACAACTGCGCTTCTTCTTTTTCGGGATGATTACACCTTGCGAACCTGATGTACCGGGTGGAGTAGATGATGATGTATTTTGTTGGTTGCTTCGATCGTTGACCACAACTGTGTTGATGGCTTCGGTAAAAATTTCTTCCACACCAGTCATTTCTTTACTACTGCACTCCATATAACGCGCTCCCATCTTTCTTGCAACTGCCATTCCTTGTTCTGTGGTGACGGGTGTGAGACCTTGGGTTTTGAGGAGATCAATACAAGAACGTTTCGTTCTCAAGTCGGATTTCAGACCGACGAGGATAAGAGGTGTGTATGGGCAAAAGTGTAATACTTCGGGATACCACTATCGAGTCAATTAGTATGATGGATAGATCAACGTGAACTCCTTTTCTTATCTTACCTTATCCATAACATTCTCGAGGGAATTTGGGCAGTCGATCGCGAAACAAACAAACAACAAATCTGTCTCCGGGTATGATAATGGACGGAGACGATCATATTCCTCTTGTCCTGCAGTATCCCACAACGCCAATTCGAGTGTCTTGCCGGTCTGCCGATGTGTTGGGTATGTGATATAATTCTCGAATACAGTTGGAACATATTTCTGAGAAAGTATTAGCCATATACTTACGAAGGTTGAGCATCAAGCACAACATACTTCTGGAAAATATCCTTGACTATAACTTATCAAAAGACAAGTCTTCCCGCATCCACCATCACCAACCACCACAATTTTTTCGAATACGAAGGACCTTCTGTCATATGTGTAGCTGCCGATTCCCTTCCCGTTGAAGCATTGCTCATCATTGTGCTAACCGTTCCGTCACTGGATCTTTGACTTTGTTCGCGACGTTGGGTAATTTTCTTTCTTGGACTCGCGTCGTATTTTTCGGTTACACTTTCACGCCTTGAATATTGATTTGATTGATATTGCGTAGCCATGCTTTTGGGGTCGTTTGGTCAGGAGAATTAAGGCGTCGCTTTGTGACGATGGTGTACGAGTGAAGTAAGTGAATGCGAGTCGAGACAATGATTGACTTTCCGATGACGAGAACGTTTGATTCTAAGACAAGCTAATCCTAATAGCTAGGTATGACTACAATTATTAAGTACTGTAGTCTGGAATTGAAATAATTGACGATGGAATAACGTTTGGATGAATGGTAATGGTTGTGGCTTGAGTGTATGGAATGAATCGTATGAGATGGCAATAATTTCAAGAATGGAAGAAAGTCTTGAAAATGATCCCTTTAAGGCTGGTGTTGATAACTTAGCAACTTTGGGTTTGGGAACGGGTACGGGTGGATTTTTGGATAGGAAGTTACTCGAATGTTAGAGTTATTTACATTTGCATGGGGGTAGTTGGTTACTCTGGCAACTTCCAAGCTTCATCCACTCCACCCTAAAATAAATGTGGCAGGTATGTGGCAGGTATGATGACATAAACTTTGAATGTTGGAAGTTGCGACGGGAGAAATAGGTGGAGGTGTGTGTGTGTGTGTGTGTGTGGCTGATGGATGTGGCTGATGGATATGGCTGATGGATATCCTTCACGTGGCTAACATTGACGTGGCTCGTGAGAGCAGAGGTAGAGGTGTGTGGCTGACCAACATGTGGCTGATCAACTTGTGGCTCGTGAAATCCCACATCGAGAAAGGCTGAAAAGTCTCAGGGTGAGAAGCTTGGAAGGCTTTGACGATGCACATTGATGAATATCATGGATGAGTAGAGCAATGCGATAGAAGATTAATCAGAGAGCGATAAGAAACTGGGAGTCAGTGATACACACCTACCTACTCCGTACATTCATCCATTCATCAATATCCACCAACGTTTCAAAGGCGTGGAAGGAAGATCAATCGATCAATCAAATCAACCAAGCAATTCTCAAATCCTTGATGGTGTATCAAATCCCACTCAACCCCAAGATTTCATGGAAATGATAAGGATAATCTTATTAACCTTTTCACGCTTTTTCCTACAAGGGAAAGAAAGGTGTTTTCTATTTTCCCAAGCAAACTTCACCTAATACAATCCTCTTCTCATCTTACTCGTACCTAGACACTGCTAGGTATTATTGAGTGAGAACACAATTTTCTGTCGCTCATTTTTCTTCGTTTTCTTTCTACTTTCCTTGATTAGGAATTTCCCCCTCTATTCCATTCCTTCTGGCCAATTACTCCAAGCTCTTACTTTTCTGTAAGACAAGACTCTTCACATCTCCAGCGGGCACAATATATAGATGCTGCTTCAACGAATGCATCCATGTGTCCGACTCCAAATGGCGACGGCCTAGAGCTTGAGAAATCGAATAATAATAATACTCAACCTCCTTCGATTTCACTTACTGTACCTCCCACAGAGATCATTGATGCCGGCTTGAAAAGTTTAAATCACTGTGAGTATAGTGATTATGGAATCACTTCTGCGCGCATTGCCCCCTTGACTATATTCGTTATCTGGCTATCGAGACAACTATTGCGCAATCCAATATCTTTAGCAATACCACGTTGACTCAAAACTACATCCACTTATCTTCTCATGTCTCCCAGAGTCGTTGAGAATGTTTCATATATTCGCATCACAATTGCTCACTGAAGTCATACTGATAACGACCCCGCAGACAAGCGCAAACTTCCACCATGGCGATACAACATGCGACAGGCTTTATTGCCTTTGGTTCGATGGGAGACTCCATACTTAGCTTGGATGCAGGATAAGATGCGATGTCCAGCACTCGACACTTATTTTGCTGTCACTGCGAACCTTGGAACGCATACTTTCTTCATGGTTGTACTGCCAATTCTGTTCTGGTGTGGACATACATCTTTGGGAAGAGGGTAATAAATTTCCTGACGGGTCCTCGCAGACACTCGCTGATTGAAACTCAGGATGGTTCACATATTGGCAACGGGAGTCTTCATAACGGGGTTCATCAAAGATATGTTCTCACTACCTCGACCACTATCCCCACCTCTCCATCGCATTACTATGTCGGGTTCTGCAGCACTCGAATATGGATTTCCTTCGACACATTCCGCCAATGCTGTCTCGGTGGCTGTATATGCTCTTTTTACTCTCCATTCTCCAGAATGTCAACTGCTCCCTTCGACGAAACTGGCCTTAGAGATTGTGAGCTATTCTTATGCCTTCTCTATCGTACTTGGACGACTTTATTGCGGCATGCATGGATTTGTGGACGTAATTGTTGGAAGTGTTATAGGCGCACTCATTTCTGTCGTCGAGTGCGTATACGGATCAGCGATTGATAACTATCTCCACAGTAGCACCTGGAAGGCCCCTGTGACGATCGCCATAGTCATTATTCTTTTGATTAGAGTTCATCCAGAACCAGCTGATGATTGCCCATGTTTTGATGACAGCGTCGCATTCGCGGCGGTTATGATAGGGGTTGAACTTGGAGGTTGGCATTATGCTTCGGGGGGTTGGGCCTGGGACGTCCCAGTTCCGGCGACGGTTCCATTCGATCTACATCATATGGGCTGGGTAATTGTGATATTACGAGTTCTCATTGGTGTTTTGGTCATCTTTGCTTGGAGAGAAGTTATGAAACCAACATTGTTGAAGTTACTCCCTCATATTTTCCGAGCCTTTGAGAACACGGGGTTGATCCTACCCCGAAAATTCTTTATGCCTGCTTCAGAATATAATAATATTCCATCAAGACTCAAGGTGGATAATGTCATGCCATCTGTATCCGACCTACCAAGTTTGATCTCATCTATCCGACATGCTGGACGGGGCCGAGCTGTATCCGTCGGACCTCAATCAGCTGCCGATGCATACGAAACTCTTGCGTATCGAGAGAAAAGACGGAGAGATAGTCTTACTGACGTATTTGAGGGTATGACTCCACGTCAAACAGCTACGAAAGAAGCGAAAGATTACTTTGGCTCTAGACAACCGACTATGGATGGCGCCGTATCATCTGGAATGTCATCAATTCATGGGAGCATGAATTTGCCAACTCCAGCACAATCCAGAGTTGGCTCTTATGAACAGATGATGGGAGCAGGTCATGTCATGTATACTCCAGGGGTATCCACTCCGGGCCTTGAGGGTGATGATGCTGCAGAGGATGAGATTACTGTTGGACAGGAAAACGAGTTAGATGAAACAGAAATGTTCTCTAGGCTAGAAAAGCCTCGTGTGAGATATGATGTCGAGGTAGTCACGAAACTTGTAGTTTATAGTGGTAAGTTTATATGTATATGAGAATACGGTCATTGAACTACCGACTGACAAATTCCTAGGTATCGCTTGGCTAGCAGTCGAAGGAAATCCGATAATTTTCGAGGTTATCGGTTTGGGTATGGGCGTATGAAAGTATCGCGATGAATATTATAGGCTCGTATCTTATGGTCTTGAGCTTGGGATGTCACTTTCACTCGTGCGATGTGGCGAGAGTACTGACTGATATTACCTAAGTACTCCAGGAGTTTGGTAGTACGTAGATTTTTATGATGTGTACTAGGTATCTCATGAGGCGTTTCGGTAGTCAAATAACATTTAATCGAAAGCTTGCTTGATATCCAATTAGATGGTGGTTATATATTGACGAATATTGCATATTCATTGCATTGGTGTGTGTGAATTAAGAATTTATAATGGTAATTTCATGTTTGGTATATTATTCATATTAAACATGAATCTCAACTTGCGGATTTCATAAGAACGCAAACCATCAAGGTACCTGAAACTCTCAATATCGATAAATTCTATTGATTCTAAATTTGAATATTCATTATCGCCATCTCAATTATAATAGTCTATTTGGGTATCTCAATGTCAACCATTCCTGTCTACCTAGTAGCTTTCCTTTCAGCTCCTTCGCCCCCAATTAATGTTACACATGGAGTGCAGTGCAGTGCAGGGTGTCGATCTAGATGCTACTGCAACCGCATCAGTCGCTTGTGGCCCCCCAAATCTCGAATTTGCATAAGGCTGGCTGGCTGGCCTCTATCAGCACTATATCTCTGTGTTACGCTGACACAGGATTTGATTTGATTTGATTTGATCTGATACGACCTGACACATGGTATGTCTGTCAAGTCTAGACTAGATTCTTGGGCTAGTCTTCTGGGTTTCCTCTTGATGTGCATGATTCGTTTGTGTGTATGTGTAACGCAACGCAACGCAACGCAACAAACCGAAACGAAACGAAATGCAAGTATCTATTTTCCGCGAGGTGTTCGAGGCCGTTTGATTCGCCGCGTTGTTTGCTGAAGTAGTTTCGCTACTCCATCTACCCATCCATTTATCCATCTTCACTTCCTTTCTTCCCAGCTCAGCTCATATGATATCATATCATACTACTCTCTCACCCCTCATCCTCCATCTCAAATCCATAGACAATCCCCACCCTCAAATCTCACCCCGCGAGCGGATTAGCATGCACCGTCACCCCCTCAATCAGCACCTTCTCCTTGGGTCTATTCTTCCTATCCACCTCTAACCCCTCCATCTCCCCCAGCACCCTGAAACTCTCCTCCCCAATCACATGTCCAAACACGGTATTCTGCCCATCGAGATGCGGCGCGGGAGCAAAGAGGATGAAAAACTGGGAGCCGTTTGTTTCGGGACCTTTGTTGGCCATGGATACGATACCGCGCGCGTGGTGGCGCAGGGAAGGACGGATTTCGTCGGCGAAGGGGACGTCCCAGATGGAGGTGCCGCCTTTTGGGGGGGAGGAGAGGGGAGAAGCGGGTTGGTGGGGGAGGGCGCGCCGGTTTGGATCATGAAGGTGGGGATGAGACGGTGGAAGGGGGAGGAGTCGTAGTAGTGGGAGGCGCAGAGGGCGAGGAAGTTCTGGGGAGGGGGGTTAGTTGGGTGTAGTGTAGTTTGGTGGAAAGGAAAATGGAGAATAAGTAAAATAAAAATGTATAGAGCGTAGCGAAAAAGCCACCACGGCAGTGGCCTAGCGGAGCGTCTTTCTTCAATACAATTGGATTGGGTTTGATGTGATTAGATTGGAGGAAAGCTTCTGATGTAGTATAATGAGATTGAGAGAAAGAAAAATGAGGGAATTTACCTCTGCGGTTTTGGGTACACTATCGCAAAACACTTCGATTTTGATATTGCCGAGGCTGGTATGTAGAGTTACTGACATCTTTTTTATGTGTTGGTTTATGGTTATTGGTAATAATGATGTGTAGTGATAATTGATAGATGAGTATCGTATGGTTGTTTATTTGGAAGATTGGTGTATGGAAAAAGAAGGCTGAGAGAAGAGAAGAAAGGTTGTTAATTTGATGGATGAAGTCAGATGTGTAAGGTTGTAGAGAGACAAGGCTGGAAGGGGAGAGAAGGCTAATAAAGGAATAAAAGTTTATGGTTATCGGGAATGGAAGTGGAATTAGTCCGGAAAGGATGAAAGACAGGTAACATTGGATTTATTTGCTTGTGAGAGGGCGGGATTGGCGGGGTGGGGTGGGATGGGATGGGATTGGATGGGATATGGGATATGGTAGGGCCATTGTTTTGTGGATCGGATCTTCAGAAGCTTGTTGGTGTTTATTTTGAGTTGAGATTTAAGGAGATTTAAGGAGATCTTTGGATGGTATTTGGATTGGGATTTTATGTGAGGGTTATTGATTTATTTATTATATGTCTTTGTAAATGTAGGTGTATATAGATGAGTAGTTATTATGTCTTGGTATATATACTAGCTATGTATATATATATACATATATATATAAAATAACCCTCAGTAAACATTCTTAATACACCTCCCTGGTCAATAATACACTTATCACCAGAAGAGCATAGATTGAAACTCTTTGTATGGTTTGATGATATGTATGATACGCCGATATCGTGATTGATTTTATACTCTGATCTAGCTACGCCTTGTTGCTAGATTTCATCATATGTTTCGCATTTACTTTGATACTTGGGTACTTATTACTCTTGAGGTGATTGATTGATAACGTAGGAGAGAAGTCTGGACTAGACGAAAGCATCAATCCATCTTACTCTTCGTGCTCTTCCTCTTGCCCTCACTCTCTCACTCTCTCACTCTCTCACTCTCTCACTCTTCCTTATCTACCCTCTCTCTATCCAAGTTAGCCCTTACAACATACATCAAAGTCAACCCGGCTACTGTTCAAGAGTCCAGCTACCCAGCTACCCAGCTACCCAGCTACCCAGCTACTCAGCTACTCAGCTATCCTTCCTCCATATATTACAATCTCAATTACATCCACATCCATCCATGAAAGAAAGAATAACCGCTTGCAACTATTACTACATCTCAATTTTAATTAACAAAACACCTATTCCTTTCAAAATTTATCATCTATCTTATTCTCACTCCATTTCTTCCTTCACCCACTCACTCATTTCATCATCCATTAAAGGAAACTTTTCCGTCACACCACACAACACAATCGCTCTCTCAAATCTACCAGGTCTCTCTTGATATTTCTCCCAACTTCCACCCAAAGAAAGAAAAAACAATTCTACTTTCCACCAACAAACTGAGGGGATCCCAAGTCTCTCTTACTCAATTTCACACATACGAATCGATCTTCACAATCAATCTTCACTTACTTAGTAATCTTAATCTTACCCACGAAGAAAACAACCTACCCACCCCCCCCAAAAAAAACAAGAGCTGAGCCTTGCTTATATGGTGACGACGAAAGCTATATCACCGACACGCAACCCCACAATTCGCGCAAACAAACTTACCGCATACACACATACATATCATACCTACAGATGAGACTCGAGCTTTCAACACAACCCACACTGCTCAACAACATTGTTTTCCATTTGGCGCAAACCTGCGCGGTGGCGCCAGTGATCTTTGGGTGTGCACGATATGTCTGCCTTTGTCCGTGTCTCCGGACCACCAAACAGTAATTTTCTGGTTGGTTATCCGGGTATTTCTGCTACGCTTGTAGGTGATCTCTATTTCTTTGGTTGAAAGTTTGGTTTTGCCATTGTGATTTCTTGGAGGGTATGGTATTAATTCGGGGATTTCTAGCCTAGGATAGAGGGTAAAGTAGAGATTCGACCCCTCACTGGAATTTCTGCGCCGATAGCGATATCCTTGGTACGAATATGTTTACAGCGAAGAGAAACGGTTCATCCATCTGCGGAATCGATCGCTAAGAAACATTTGGGGACACCTCGAAGGGAAACGATAGATGTGGTTGGGAAAGAGTTATTATTGTTTCGATGTACGGCCGGAAAGGAGAGCGAAAGTGTGGTTTTGATGGATCTACCTTTCGTATTATTCATACCATTTGGAAGGGGGGGAGAGGAATCGAATCGAAGGATCCCGCCAGCAAGTTTACAACTACCAAGTCGCACGGCGGAAACTTATTATGAGTTGGTGGTAACGGTTCAACAAGGTCAAGATCAAAAGAAATTCGCGTTTCCAGTCCCGATGCAGAGATACGATACCCTTTCAACCTTCGGCATGTATAATCGTCCAGAATCTGCAGAGAAGAATACGGACCATCTGGTTACCCTCAGAATCACAATACCTCGATGGTCATTTGGCCCTTCGGATCCAGTTAGCGTCTACATCCATTTATTTCCAAACTCCCTTTACATAAAGAAAGCTACCAAGGTAGTCATACAAAAGATTACGATTGGCATAGAAGAGGAAATTACATATAATCCAGAAGGAGATGAACCAACGAAGAAAATCAATCGCATAGCCAAGCAGACGGCGACAGTGGGAGCAAAATTACCAGAGGCAGGATATTTCACGACTCTAGGGCTGATATATCCATCGAAGGATTTGAGAGATTCGGAGGGAATTATTAGGAGAGGAAAAGCTGCATTCCCAATGCATTTTGTCAATTCGTTTACGACCACGGGGACCTTATACAAGATTGAGTTTTTTCTCGTTATAAAGGTATATACATTTTTTCTTCTCTCATTCACACATTTAACTAGTCAAAATTTCTCAAATACTCATGAAATTGGTCTAAACTAACTATTGCAATTTACAGGTTCACCTGTCGGGTGCTCGTGATATTACTCATCGTCAACCAATTACTGTATGTCCATTGAATGAACAAGAGTGTAAAGAGGAAATGGATGCCATTGAACAAGCAGCAAAAGATGCATCACATGTGGATCCGACGAATCCAATGTTACCCGCCTGCACAATTATTCGGGCGAAAGATCCAAGTGCTTTGAGAGCATTAGGTTGGACAATGGTAGGAGGTTTCAGAAAGATGGTTATTGAATGAAAGGATGAGGGGATGAATGAAGCTTTGAATTCGTAATGAGGAGATTTTTGATGGACAATCACCAGATTGAAGTGATTTGGAATTAAGAGGCCTTGGATTCGATTTGAAAGTGATTATCGAGGCATTGCTGGGCCCGAGAATTATTAAGGGGGTGCGAATGCATACGATAACTTGCTGCATCGATAGATGTATGCGAAAGTCAGCGGAACGTTCATACCAAGGCGACAGGCTTCATAAGGAGTATCACACCAGATCACGATACCCAAGGTCGAATAAGAACGAGTATGATTTAGTGGGGGAGTGTAGTGGAGTGTATATGATTTTTGACCTTGAATATTAGGTTTGGCCGTGGCAATCAATCAAGAAGTATTGGAGGACAAATTTAGCCAGGCGAACAATCGAATATGAGTTGATGGGAGTGGAAGGGCATGGAAATAATGGAAGCGGTTGAGCTGGATTATATTTGAATCGAATTGAACGTATAACGATTTGTTGCATTCTCTGGTACTTAGGTTGGGGTTGGGGTAGGGATTTTGTTGTGTGGGGGAGTTGGAGGATTAGTTCGGATGCGGAGTTGGATGTATATTGGTTGGCTGGTTGATTGATTGATTTGGATTGATTTTGGAGCAGATGGTTGGATGGATGTATATGATTCATGATGTTGGTCATGAATAGGATATGGAATGGAATGAGCCAAAGTCAAATAAAGGGATAGTTAGCTGGCGAGATGAAATCGCAAGATCTAGATGTGAGATTGAGTAGCTATCTGGATATTGGATCTTGATCTTGAGATGAGATGAGGTGAGATGAGATGATATAAGAGGGAGTGGGTAGTGAGTGAATGAAGAATAATCAACACAAATAAATGAACTCTTACTATGAGGATTTCTTCTCATGCTTGTTTATATGTGGATTTGTGATTTGTGATTTGTGATTTGTGATTTGTGATTTGTGATTTGTGATTTGTGAATTCCTGTGTCTATAACTTTGTAAATTTGTAGGTCTATAGTATTCTATGTGGGTATGTTTGGATTGTGCTGGTGATGGGTGATGGGTATGAGTATGAGTATGAGTATGAGTATGAGTATGAGTATGAGTATGAGTATGAGTATGAGTATGAGTATGAGTATGAGTATGAGTATGAGTATGAGTATGAGTATGAGTATGAGTATGAGTATGAGTATGAGTATGAGTATGAGTATGAGTATGAGTATGAGTATGAGTATGAGTATGAGTATGAGTATGAGTATGAGTATGAGTATGACTATGAGTATGAGTATGAGTATGAGTATGAGTATGAATGGCAATGGGGTACAGGTTAGATTTACTGAGCAGGTAGATATACTAGATAGGTAGGCAGGTATATGAGGTAGGGATGAGTTAGGTGAGAATGATTTGAGTGAGTGAGTGAGTGTGGATGGATGGATGGATGGATGGATGGATGGATGGGGTGGTGGTATATGAGGTAGATATGTGTTTGTGTATGATTGTATATAAGTAAGTATGAAGTGGATATTGAGTGTAGACTTTTTGTTTTGGATACGGAAGGAGCTTGGAGATTAGAGGGGAGGGGAAGAGGAGAGAGAGATTACCAATGTGATGTCAAGACGCAGTAATTATTCTTCTCTTCTTTTTTCATTCTTCCTGTAATCCATTTCTTCATTCTTGAGTCTTTTTTATATATATTTTCATTTATATAAATCCCATCCCATCCTATTCTATTCCATCCCACCCCATTTCTTTTCATCTCATTTCGTGCGTTGTATAAAATCCTTCCAATCTGGTATTCGTGATATATTCATTCGTATGCACATGGATACATTTCCATTTCCATTTCCATCTTCATATCCATATCCATATCCATATCCAAATATCATTTTTTTTCATCATTGTTCCTTGTTGAAATAACCATCCATAAATCCATGAAATCATAAAAAAACTCCCCCCTTGATCCGAAAATTCCTGCGTAAATGAAGGGGAATGGGAAATTGAGAATGATGGAGGGTGAAAATGAAGAGAAGTGAGGGAATGATGAGTTGAGTTGAGATGAAGTACGCGTTCAAAAGCTACCGAATCGCAACAAATAACCGACCGACCGACCGACCGACCGAATAGTTGAAAACCCGCTGAAAGAAGTGAAAGAAATGAAGAGGAAGGAGAAGAGTGAGGTCCAATTTGTGAGGATTCTTGGTTGCGTTTTGATCTTAGGTAGGTAGGTAGGTAGGTAGATAGGATGAGCGACGCATGCTGAGAGAATATCTTCAAAAACCCCAAAAGGACCAAAATCTAACATCAAGCCGTGGACAAACTCAAGCTTGAGTCGAAATCTCAAAGCTCAAGTAAAAGCGGATGATGACCCATTTTCTTGCTCTCCTTTTCCTTTCCCTTAAAACTCGTACTCTTCTCCGTCTTGCTTCTGAAAATACTCAAAGGCGTCTTCTTTTTCTTTTCCTTGGGCTCTTTCTCTTCTTTCTCTGTACGTTCCGTTCGCTCAGAAGCAAGCGATGCATTATCATCATCTTTCTTTGAGCGACTCGATCGATGACTCTTAGAAGACTTTGTAGATTTCGATGTCTTCGTGCGAGAAGTACGAATGGATTCGATATCGTCATCTTTAGACTTGACGGAAGGTTCGTACTGGGAAGGACTACCTCTAATAGGAAGAGTTTTGGAACGGCGAGATTTACTCGTAAGGCGACTCATGATACTTCTCTTTTCCTCTTCTTCTTCTTCCTCACTCTCGTCAATTCTTTCTTCGGCGGCACGTTGACGGATTCGCTCTGCGTGGCGACTCTCCTTTTGTCGTGCTGCGGTGGGGGTGATGTATTCACCATCTACACTTGTGCCTACACTTTCTATTTCTGCGTCGGCGATTCCACGACGCCAGATGTCGATGCTGCTTAGTTCTTCCTCGTAGGCTTCGTAGGGCATCGCTTCTTCGTACTCATGGTGCATATCTTGGGGTTCCATGAACCCAGGTGTGTCGGGATAGTTGGGGGTAGCGGGGAGGGCTTGCATGGCCATCGGAGCTTCTAGTGGCTTTTCAGGAGTGGCTTGAAGTTTCTTGATGATTTTGAAACCGTTGAACATGACGACCGTGACGCCGAGAGCGACACCTCCGGCGATGAGAAATTGAGGAGATGCGAGGAGGGCGAAGATGGCGGGGGAACTGGCTTTGAGCATGGGGATGATGGAGGGAGACATTTTGGTGAGGAGAGAAGAAAGCTCGGCGAGGGTGAGAGCTACGGCGGCCATGGCTTCGGGGTTGGCTTGAAGGTTTGACATGATGGCTGTGGCGGTGTGGTGAAGACACTGGGCTTCGATGAGGAGAGTATCGAGTTTACTCATTGTTTCGTCGAGTTCTGCTGGGAGTTGTTGTGGGGCGATTGGCTCTTCGAATTCTGGCTCGGGGTCGGATTCAAAGTGATGGGCATCTCCATATGCCAAATCCATATCGATTGAGTCATCATGAAGATCAGGCACGGAAGTTGCACGTGGGACTAATGGTCCGCTGGTATACGTAGCAGGAGCTGTTTCTCTCCTTACGAGATGCCCTGGCATGGGAGGAGCAGCTTCCATCTCTGTATGCCTCCTCGCGAGACTTAACTCGGTTTCGGCGAATGGTTGGCGATACATAGCTAGAGGGGGATCATCATAAAATCCCTCTTCAGGATCTTCGTAATGGGTTTCTGTAGGCTCATATTGAGTGGGAGCTTTAGAACCATGCACTGAACGACTTCGTTTCGATCGATGAGATCGATGCGAACGTTTGCTCGCTAGACTTTGCATATCTTCTTCCTCGTCCAAATCATCGAAGTTAAATTCCTGGCGAGTTCTCGTGTGGGAACGATGAGAACGATGGGAGCGGCCACTGGCCAAACTTTGCGCATCTGGGAATTCCTCATAATTATTGATGGTGAGAGGAGGACGAGAAGAATCTCTTGGTTCCTGACGAGAAGACTGAGAACGATGTGAGCGATGAGATCTATGAGATCTTCTCGAAGCTATCGATTGTGCATCATCTCCTCCCCCTCCTCGTGCCTCTTCAATTTCATATCGAGCTTCGTCGAGACGTCTCTGTGCTCGATATGATCGTGCTTCTTCCCGAAGATAATGTTCTTCTTTCAATTGTGCTTTCTTTTCTTGATATGCGGCCTTGGCATCTTTGAAGATGTTTACGAGTTGTTTTCCCTAAATTTTTTTCAAAAATGTGCTGGTTAGTCACCGCATTATTTTGTATGTGTGTAACATCGGATGAGGGGAACTCCAGGGAAAACTTCGGAAAAATGGTAGAAATACTTACAGTGCTGACTACTTTCCCCGATTTATTGATAATGGTAACGGTTTCTGTGATAGGAGGAGCCATTTTTGAACGTATGATATGGGTATAATTTTTGAGAAAGGAAGAGAAGACCAGCTTCTTATTTTTCGGAATTTGGTATCGTAAAGAAGTTTTGGAAAAGAAGTGAATGGAATTTTTGGCTTGTGAAAAGAATAAGAAGTCGATTCCCTGAGCGAGCAAGCAAGCAAGCAAGCTACTTCTTTACCGCCAAAAAAGTGCGGTGAAGAGCTGATGGCGGGGGAAATTTAAGTGGGAATTTTTTGGGGAACGAGGAATGTAGGACGTGAGAGAGTCCGTTCCGTCAAGCAGGTAGGGAGGTGGAATGAAAGGAAAAGGAGGTAAGTGTGGCAGATCAACTGAGGAATTCGTGGGACAGCGAAGAGTGAGGGATTTGAGAGGTTTATTTGTATGGATGGGTTTGTGAATGATGTTAGGATGGAGATGAATAGCTGTGGAGAACTGGGTCACGACTTCATTTTAACCATGTAGGTATACCTGGGTTTGTAGGTATATGTATTAGTTATATGTATAGAAGTATACAAGTCCACGATGATAGATGGGATGATCGGATTTCAAGGTGCCTTTTGGAAGGTTTGGAGGGGACATATCGGAGAATCAAACCGATTTCACATAATTTATGTGGAGTGATGGTTATTTTGCAAGGGGGAGCTTTAGTCTCTCCTTGAGAAATGTTGTGGATTCTTTTTTGGGGTGAATGAATCGTGATGGTATCCTGGATTCTTGGTTCATAAATAGTAAAAATACTTATGGGGATGAAAATCTCCTATCAATCAAGAAGGCGAGAGCTTCTTCTTTCTAGGTCTCGAACTTCTCCCTTCATTGGACTGACATCTATGTTTCCTCCACTAATATCTAAAATCACTTCGCAATCATTGGATTCAAAAATTATCAAATCGAAATCATCCTTCACTAAGAAGAGAAACGGGACCAGTATGTACGGAAAAGAATCCTTCGCGTCCAATAGGATATCCCTTCCCAAAGCATCCTCATGCATGAGAGTGGAAATGTGAATCTCCATCGTGCATCGTGTCGTCGAACTTTTGGTCCAACAGCAAGATTTGTTAGGCTTACATGCATCCAAGTCACCTCTTCCTTGGAAAGAAAAAAATGCCTACTTCCTAGAAGATAAATCTGTACTATTGAATCATATACGAATGTTTTATGGACTCCGAAGCACGCGAGGACGAAATTCAACGTCCTGTCGCTTACCGCTATGGAGCCATTCGGCGCCCGCGGTCTCCCGCTCGCTTCTGTACGTTGTGCACGCTTGCACGCAGGTCTTTTGATGGAGACGAGCGTGGAAAATAGAGGAATTCATGCAGGAGAGAGGAGTGCAGTAACATATGTAGAGTCCAATGATTTACATTACGGGAGGGAAGATGTACTCCATAGATACATATGCACTCTCTGAATCACGACGAAATGGATATGAAAACCCGTGAAGTTGGTAAGATAAGATGGGACCGAATGGACCGACAGGACCGATAAGAAACTTTTAAGACTTCATTTCTCCACGTTTCTTTGAAACAACAATGTCGTGGCACCAGCTGCTTATTTGTGGCTGTGTTGGTTTTTTACGAATGCATGTGGCTGAATAGTTAGTAGCACAGATTAGTTTCTTGTTTTCTCTTTGGTTTGGAAATTAGGTTTCTTTTCTTTTTGCCTAAATTCATGAGCATGAGATTTAGTAATCTTTGTCGTTTTGACCCTTTTTTTCATCATATTGGTGGCTTGCGGTTCGGATAACTGCTTTAATGTCGGCCCGGTACATTTGTGATTGGGCTGCATGTTAGGCCGAGGAGAAATTTCCAGTCTGAACCTACGGCGTTGAGAGATGATCCGAGTGAATTATTACAGTCGACAATATCGTTTAAGTAGTTACTTAAGTAAAATAGTTAGTCGCCAAACGAAGTGATATGCGGTAGTTTGGTATCAGAGTACCGAAGATAGTTTTTCGGATTCTATTATCACCCTTCTTTCGCTAGACGGTGAGAGTTGATTGAAAAGAAGAAGAGCATGATTGATTGTGATTATTTATTTCCTTTCCATTCCTCGAGAGTTGTAGTAAATCTCCCAGGCAGAATTGAAAACCGGAGAGCTCTTATAAAATATGCATGATTCCAGTGCATGGATGTTGAGTGAAAATTGTATGGCTGAGGGGATACCGACTGCATAGTCCGATAGGCAGACGCTGAAAAGCGTTTGCTTTTCTACCTAGATAGTATGGTTGTCATCTTCCATCTGTTTATAAACCAAACGAAGCCCTCCTCAGTTTTGGACATACTCATTTGGTCTATTCTCTCACATCCATCATCTACACTCAAAATGTCCAATCAGTGCACCCTTACCAGGACTCAAGCTCCAAGAAGAAATTATTTCCAATTCTGGGAACAACAGCTCTTCGCTCAGGTGCGTCATAATATCAAAAGTCCAAACCTACATCTCTATGCTCTACCTTTGCTACATGATTATCAGAAACGCAAATCTGTTGGAGAATTTGACGGGCTGGATCTAGAAGATGCCAAGAAATTACAACAGGCAGCCGATGAAATAGTTGCGCATCTTGTGAATCATCTTGCGCTTGCCTTTGAAAGGAGATGGAATGGATGAAAGAGATGTTTGATACCTTACCAATGATAACAAGATTATAGACACCAATAAATCTATGTTAGTATTCACACTCTTCCAATTGCCATTTGGCTGGCGTCGAATTATTCACTTTCTAGCCTATGATACCAATAGGTTTGAACCCCATCCTTCGATGAGATGAGGCTCGACTCGTGTTCGGTTTGTGAATGGGCCTATGTACCTAATAACTTCCTATCGATATACTAGGTGAATGTTGCAATCCTCGAATCAATCCGTGCCAGTCAGGTGCAAATCACGAGTGAATTGATTTTCGAGCGTATTTAGATTACCTAATCTTATAAAGGTACCTACACTCCGTACACATTCAACAAATTTTCTCTGGTCATTAACCTTTTCCATCCATCTCCTATTACTTGTCAATATTTCCAACTTCAATTTTCAATATGATCCCACTCGAAGATAGATTTTGGTCCGAGGGCCAAAATCACCTTGGCGATGGTAAGAATGCTTACTGCAATGTCTTTCTTGAAATGGGATCAATTGCGCATGATAAAAAGAAAAGGCACAACAAAGGTATTTCCGATTGATGAGGATAAAGAGGTCGCAATTCCGGCGCAATTCGCTCATTATCCATCTCCGGAAGTTCGCGCAGTTGAGGTTGACAATGATAGACTCATCTGTGGGATCTCCACAGATCCAGAGGAAGACGAGGCAGTCTTCATTGCTTATCCTCCATATTCAACTATTGAATCGCTAGCTGGATGTCGCACGATCGAGCATTTCCAGCTCAAAGAGCTCGATCAGCTTGCACCATTTGTTGACCTTTCATCTTACAAAGACGAGAATCAGCACACCCGGATATTTGTCTTTAAATTCAATGCTTTGGAAAAACCGCTAAGGGTAAAAATGGCTTGGAACGAAATCAACCTTGTCAGAAGTCTGCCACCGCATCTCAATCTAGTACCATTTGATAGCGTTGTTCTCGAAGACGTGGAGTCTCGTGTGATTGGCTTCACAACGAAATACATCCCAGGTGGCAGTCTGAGTATCCCAAAGACACCTTTACGATTCGAGTGGTTGCAACAACTCACAGAGGTCGTCGATTTCTTGAACTTAAACCTGGGAATCATGCATCAGGATATTTCACCACGGAATTTGATGATCGATCCCGACACACAAAAGCTTCTCTTATTCGACTTTGATAGAGTCGCATGTAGAAAAGTATAGTTGATGGAAAATCGTGATGACGTTAGCGGTGTGGTGTACGCTGTACATGAGCTTATAACAAACGACTCGCACTTCACTGGGATCCCCCATTGGGAACGAAATATGGACATGGTTCAGAGTCTCCCAGAATGGGTCTGCAATCGTGAACTGGACGCTGATGTCTCTGTATTCCGCGAATTTCTTGATAAATGGGTACGAGAATGACAATCTGGTGGCATCATGGAACAATATCTCAAGGCGCCTAACCGGCCTACATGACCGGAAGAGCCACCTTCTGTATCGGATTACGATATTCCTTGGCAAGTTGGGGAAACGATGGATGGAAAGCCGATGTGGACAACGGGAGTACATTTGAGACGCATCGCAATGGATCTTGGGCAATATTGCTTTCGATGGGAGAGACCACCGCAAAGCAGATTGTCAAAAAAGTCTTGCGAGGAGAATGTGAATGGAATTGACCAGAAAGCCCACAATGAGGAACACAAGAAAGCTACAGGTAAGACTCTGATAAACAAACTACTTACTAGCTGTCAGTGGTTTACTGACTCGATAATCCACCGCAGTTGCAGCCACCGAAGCCGATGACAGTATGTATTGTCTATCCGGCTGAGGGACTCGAGAATCAAACGTAATGGAATTTCGAAAATGGTGTTCTATAAAGATAGGAGTTTACAGAAATCTAAGAGATACATGGTCTAGAATTGCTATTTGGTCTGGATGGAACGAGTACAAAATGGCTATGAGAGTAGCTATCCGGGTGATTTTCGGAGAAATGGTAGATTGACAGGGTGGGGTACAACGATTTTTCTCCTCTTCTCAGTATTTGCCCAGCTCGAGCTTAGATGCTCAATACCATTAGACTTTCTACCATAAACTGAATCTCGCAGTCTATCGGCTGAATGAGGTGTACTGTTATCTTCGGCATCTTAAACGTTATGCTTTGATAGAACCGTTATCGTCGGAAGTGGGGTTAATGCTTGTCTGCCGGGATACAGATTCACACGGATTGCCGTACGGAGTAAAGATATCCACGCCAAAGATATCCACGCCAAAGATATATCAAGCTTTGGTTTTCTCATTTGCATGCCAAAACTTACTTTGGTCTGAGCCGTAACTATTGTCCATCAGCTCAGGTCACGCTTCATCAGTCCAAAGAAGAAGTCTTCGACGATGGCAATGTCACGTGTGAGGGAGTATATCTCCCATCCCTATGAACATCCAGGAGAGAGAAAGCTGGTACAGAAACTAGGTGAGTGCTTGATCTATCATGCATGACTCGTGCAATCAAGCAAAAATCTCTAACACGTATAGACTTCTTCATTTTAACATTTTGCTGTTTATCTTATTTCACGAATTATTTAGATCGATCGAATTTGGCAAATGCGTATGTGAGTGGAATGAAGGAAGAGTTGGGGTTTGTGGGTAATCAATATAATCTTATTAATACTGTTTTTACTGTCGGGTATGTACTAGATTTCTGTTGAAGTTCCTTATATGCTATGGCCGAAGTGGTCCTATTTGACACCTGAATTCTCATCTCAATCCACGTAAACTGGTTGTGACTTTGAGTACTCTCCGGATTCGGCCATCTAGTATATGTTCGGTTATACTAACTCCGTTCCAGATACATAATTGGACAAATTCCCAGTAATCTGGCACTCTACTATATTAAACCTCGCATCTTCTTCCCATCAATGATGGTTCTGTGGGGGTGTCTTACTATGATCACTGCATCCGTTCATCATCCTAGGGATATAATGGCTATTCGGTTTTTCCAAGGTCTTGCCGAAAGCAGCACATTCGTCGGTACCCATTACATTCTCGGATCATGGTACACTCCTCGAGAGCTCGGAAAGCGCAGTGGCATCTTCACTTCTTCTGGTCTTGCTGGTACTATGTTTGGGGGTTTTATCCAAACTGGCATTCATTCATCCTTGAATGGCGCAAAAGGAATGAGTGGCTGGCGCTGGCTCTTCATCATTGATGGACTTATCACTCTCCCCATCGCCCTTTATGGCTTTCTTCTTTTCCCAGATACTCCGACCACAACATCCGCATTTTATCTCACCCCGGTTGAGCGAGATCTTGCTAAAGCCCGTGTTCCAGAAGTACCTGAACATCAACTCTGGAATTTTGCATTCCTCAAAACTGTTGTCACATCATGGTACTGGTATGGATTCGTTATTCTGTGGATCATTGCTGGAGAGAGCGAATCTTTCTCTTCAAACTCATTACTTTCACTATACATGAAATCCACAAGCAAATATACAATTTCTCAACTCAACAACTATCCCACCGGTGTTCCAGCTGTTGGTATCATATTTACCCTCTTCTGGGCCACTCTTACAGATTTTCTCAACGGCAAACGCTACCTTGTCGCTTATTTCATCGCCATTACCGGAATTGTAACTTCCGCTATGATACTCACAACTTCTAATGTAGCAACGATTTTTGCAGCATACTACTGGGCCGGCTCTGTCTACGCCTGTCAAGCAACCTTTTTCGCATGGGCTAATGAAGCTATGAGATTTGAAAACGATGCCTTAAGAGCAATAGTGATAGCGAGTATGAATTGTGGTAGTAATGCTGTGAATGCATGGTGGAGTTTACTATTCTATGGCGCAGTTGAAGCACCTAAGTTTACAAAGGGAATGTGGGCGATGATTGGAACGTGCATTGCTCTGGCAATTTGGACCACAGTTTTGCTATGGGGTTTAAAGCGAATAGACAGGAAACGGGAGGCTACTACAGTGGTGGGAAGAACGCGGGCAGAAAGTGATGATCTAGAGGTGGCTGATATTGGAGAAGGACATTTGGATAGTAAGATACATTGATATCGCCAGAGTAGCAGTCCATGGTGGCTCGGTAAAGTTTTCATATCTGCGAACGTGATGGGATTGCGATCGTATATTTCAAATTCAAAGAGGGGGAATGCCGTTAGAAAAGCAATCGGCAGTTCGAAATAGTTTATTCAATAATCTGATTAGGAGCGACTTTTTGAAAAAATTCAATGAACTGACCCGGTCGTTGCTATACTGTTACTTGGATATGTAATAGGTGTAGAATAAGCATTCACACCAATCATAAGTATGTCCTCTTGACGATTCCCTCCTCCCTTCCAAGGAATTGCTTAAATGTCGTCAATGGAACGAGCCTAGAAAGTTCTTCTATATCGACATATTCCGACATCTATCTCATGGCAATTTGCGAATTAACAAAGACACTCGAGTCTTTTTGCTTCATGATCTCCTCTTCTGTCATAAATACTGCTTCAAGGGGCCATTGAATGACTTCTCCAAGTTGATCAAGTATTTCCGGAACAGTCAACAATTCACTAGCCATCCCAATTGCGCATCCGTGAAACTTTTCTGGGCTTGAAATGCTGCAGTAGCAACCTTAGCAATATCGACGTGATCAACTAATGCAAAATTTCCCTCGGCAGTCATTGCTGTTGTCCAAGTACCCTTATCTCGTAACTCGGGATATCTATGTACTTTCGGCTCCAGAAAATTCGCCATGAAGAAGGCCGGGTGGAGAAACGTCCAATATTCAAATTTCCCATCAATAACAGCCTGCTCCACTCTCTTCTTTCCCGCGAGGTGCTTAGCCATGAAGGAGTTGGGCGTAATATGTATCCCAGTGCCCAGCATACTCACTCCAAGACTCGTGGATGCAACGACTTGCTTGACACCTGCCTCCTTCGCGACTTTGATGATTTCCTCGGCTTGTCGACGCTCATGATCTAAATCGTCGACTGTGGGATGCAGACACAAGAAGAGTTTCTCGCAGCCGCTCATGGAATTGCGGAGTGCATCCATATTGTCCCAATCGCTTTGTGTAAATTGTACACCACGATTTCTCAATGTGCGTGCTTCAGGTGACGCGAGGTTGCGCGTTGTTGCATGGATATTCCAGTCGAGATCGAGGAGCTGCTGGCACAAAGCGCCCCCTTGACTGCCAGTGGCACTGAAGATAAAGGCAGTGTGCGTCACTGGAGACATTGTATCGAGGCCTCTTGCTTGGATGGTTTTTGGATTTAATAATACCTACAAGATTTCCTGGGCATAGTGTGGCTTTTATGTTAAAGGATTCACCTCATTTGTGGGAAAGTCTTTACTGTAATTATCCGAATCGTTACGGGTCGTTTGACCTATTTAGGAATATGCATGTGCCCACGTCAGTATTCATCTGTGAGGATGTCTTTAAAAAGATATGTCAATCTAGGAGTCCGGAAATCAACTGTATCAATAAAATAATCATTGGCACGAGCAAGTTTATACTAGCTAATTGATGTTGAACTTGAAAAGCCGGATCTGAAGCTTATGAACTTCCACTCTTGAATAGTGTACCGTGCGCCTCATGCCAACGGATCCTGATCGTAGAACTAAGTCTCCTGCCCTAAATTTCACTTCAGAGCATATTATTTATAAGAAGTAGCAAAGGCGTTCAACACGCCTTTTCCACTAGTCCCAATGATGAACTGATCACTCTCACATTCAAAGTCTTCTGAGGTAACCCCCTCAAAATGGAAGTCAAATCGTTGAACAAGAGTCGCAAGAAGCATATACATCTCAGCCCCTGCGAGACTAAAAAATGATTTCAGCGACGGTAAATATAACATCAAGTCAAGAGGAGGCATACTTCATGCCAAGACAAATCCTTGTTTTCTTCGAAAAGGCAGCATAAATTTTATCATGCTTCCTCCGGGCATCGATATCCATCCATCGCCCAGGCTTAAATTGTATTGGGTCTGGATATAGCTTCTCGTCCGTGTGCATTAGTAGTGTAGTCATACCAATAGGTGTGCCAGAAGGGATTCGCCATTTTCCACATGTGAGATCTCCATCGGGAGATATTCTCGCTGATCGTGAAGCAATGGCAGGGCTGAGACGCATACCTTCCATCAATATTGATGTCAGGTATGGGAGTTGCTCAAGGGTCTTTACTTCGACTAGGTCAGTAGGAGAGATGGAGGCAGACGAAGTTCATTACGTAGTCGTTTGAGGATTTCGGGACTGTTGAAAACGTGGAAGATGATTAAGCGTAAAACGCTAGCAGTCGTTTTAAAACCAGCTCCTGTCACTGTAGCTACATCGTCGAAGACACGTTCGAATTTTTTGTCCTCGGCCGGAAGGTTGGAGTCTAGAATTTCGTGGACTATATTGTGGGGAGCCTTATCATCTGGATCGGACAAAGCTATTGCGGCCAAAAACTCCTTCGTATCATGTGTAGTTTCCTATAAAGTTCTCGGTTATGATGAAACTTTACGTCAAAATAACATGGCTTACCTTCAGATAGCGGAAGAAAGCCTTTGTACCGTCGTCGGCAACTTTCATAACCCAGTCGACGGGAATTGATTTCATAGTAGGAGCGAACCATGTGATATGTTTGGTTATACGCCAGATATGACCAGATCCCTGGAAGACACTTGTCATCCCAATATCAAAATCTTCTTCATCAAGACTATTATATGATTTTCCGAGAATGAATTCCGTTGAGACATCTCTAGTAAAGGCACTCGGTGCAGCGCCTAGATTGACTATCTGTCCTGTGCCTGTGAATTACGAGATACGACCGCTGAACTTCTGAATATTGCGATGATTAAATCTTGTTATTGGCAACTTGGACTTTGGAAAAGAAAGCATTCAGAGGTAGGCGACGAGCCTTATGTATATCATGATCAGCCGTGCAAATAGTAGCACCTCATGCAGAAAACCATCTAGAGCCCAACTTTACTTGTGCCAACGTCCATCTTGGCGGTAAAGCTGTTCGAAAAAGGCTGGATCAATGACGTGGAGCTCTTAAGGACTGATGCGGATGATTGGGCCTTTGTGAATTATTAGCTTTCATGTATTGATGTGAGAGGCGATATAGTTATTGATTTATACCGTGTTCAATGTGCATTTCAGCAATTCGAAATGTGTATTGACCATCTTGAACGATATCATAATATGCTTCGTAGTATTTTGTGATGGCGGCTAGTTCTGGCCCTGGAAATCGAGAAAGAGGGTGCAGGAATAGGCGGTAGAAAGTAAAACTGCCGAAGTAAACTACAATAGCTGCAGCAAGGTTCTGCAACGACATTAAGGTAGTCAAACTCTCCATTTGATCCATTTTGTTGTCTGTATCTCTGATTCAAAGCAGTGGTAAAGTTTAGTGAATGGGAAGATTAAATGGAATGTCGTGGATTGTAAGCAAACAGTCGGTAACCTACAGTTGCTTTCCAGATAAAACCCTAACAACAATCCAACATCCTGCCGAGGATTATTCACTCTTTTTACTGGCGTTAGAACGAACGAATGAAGTTGGAAAGTCGTCACATGAGCAATTTGACATACTGTATGACTAGTCCATTTTTCCAATGGTTAGAAACATAGTTCATAAGCTTCGAATATCTCTATTCTATCAGTATATAACACTTGTCTGAAACTTTGAAGTTGATCCGTATTTCAAGCTGCTTTCCCTCAATTTCGTCTAATATTTGGGACCACGATACTGTAATAGAACATGAAATATTGGGTACGTCTAGTCTGTAAAGAATTGGCTAGGGCAGTGTTCTTACTAGTATTGCTCGTATTTCATATATTGGTCTGTATAGTGGTGCATATTCAATATTATTTTATATTAAATATCAATAAAAACAATACAATCTCTTTTTACATATATAAAATATTATATCAAAGGCTTAATACGCGCTACCATTACACTACTGTATACTAGTACAAACACTGGGCTAGGGGCATTTCGGACACTTGTCACTAAATCCACTTCAAGGTAAGGAAGAGGAAGAGATTGAACTAAATAACTTTGATAGGACAAGACAGTATCTACGTAATCAAAAATTAACTCTCTATACATCAAGATCCAAGTCGTTTGTATTTGTTGTTTTAGGTACTGATGTTATCAGGTACGGTAGTTAACCTGAGTATCAACCGATTTGTCAAACTTCGAATCTGGGAAGCAAATTTGATATATATTGATTATCAATCGAGCAGAAATTGATGAATGACTATTATAAATCTACAAGGTGTATTAGTCAGTCAGACAAGAGTCGCATCGGAGTATACAGAAACCCAGAAATCAATATATGAATTCAAATAATTCTAAGTGTAACAATCAAATGAGAGTAAAAATCACGCTGCCTTCATTGTTAGAGTATCTACTAATACACACAAGAGATCAAAATACTACCCCCGCTATCAAACTCCTTACATCCTAACTTCTTCTAACTTCAGGAGCAATCCTCTTTCCCCGTTCCTCCTCCGCAGCATACACAAAATCCTTCACAGTCCATGCCACCAACCCCAATTCCCGTATCAAATCCGAAGATACTAACAGTCTCGGGATATCCCAATAGCTCAGTTCCCTAACAAACTCCTCATATCTTCTCAAACGCACTTGCGATCCAATCAAAGTCTGCATATCTCTCATAATCTCAGATTTCTCTAAGGTATTAGCGATTTTCTGCCAGGCTTGTCCTCTGTACGCCTTCCCACAAGCAGTGATGTTGTTCAGACAGCTGGGTTTGCGGCAGTTGTACCATTGCAGATAGAGATCGATCGTTGCTTCTAGGAGAGCGCTCACATCGTCTCCAGGGCTGCTGTTGGTAGAGGAAGTACCTCTGAAGGAAGCATTATGTAGGGTGCTTTGGTGCGATCGATCTTGCGGATGGGATCGTGGATGATTCTAGTTGTAGCAGCGAAATTGCGTAATGACGATGCCGCTCTGAAAGGGATGGACAGTTCTGGTGTGAGACTTAAATCGTTGTCATTTCTTCGAACGATCTTTGTGGAGTTTGCTGTGTCGTAAACTGCTTGCTTTTGTTTGTTGCGGTTGAAGGTGTTACAGCGTGGTGTGTAGAATAAATGTTGTTTGGAATCAAAGAAGAATCAATGTGAGAGTCACTGAACGATAGTATAAGTAATTGTCGATAGAATAACTACTGGGTGTTAACATTCATTCGTTATCTAGCCAAATTCATTCGTTACGAATCATGAGCCAGTGACTGTGAGAGTGCATGTCAGTGGAAACTTAACAGGAGTCAAATTTAATATGTAAACTATAATGATTGGCAATGTGATACATCAAACTCAACAAATGTAAGCTGCACGAATAATTGAAACAAAGTGTAAAGTCACGTTAGCTTTATTGCTTAAGTAATAATAACAGTAATACGATCGGGATGCAAAGAACCGTCCAAAGCTATCATTCTCTCCTTCTAGCTTTTCTTCAAAATAGAGATCTCATCCTTCCAGAACGAGATTCGACTTCTCCAGAACGAGGTCCTCCAATTCCAGAATGAGAACGGATATATTCATTCCCAGCGCGCCTTCCTTCATCTCTAGCAACAGCCTCATTACTTATTCTATCTTGAGCGGCTTTCAAACACCGTAGTTGACACTTCAACGCCTGGGCCCACGTGCCGCTTGAGTGGCGGTATACCCACTGCTCAAGTTGTTCAAGTTCCGTTAGCTTCCAATGACTCAATTCCCACTCAAGTTCATCCATCTTTCTCAAACTGACTTCCATTCCAACAGCTTTTCTCATAGCTCTGATTGTATCCGAAATCTCTAGATTGTATGCTATAATCTGCCAAGCTTGCCCTCTGCTCATCTTACCACGAATGACTATATTTTGCAAACAGGACGAACTTGCACAGCTATCGTACCGGATTTAGAAATCAATCATTGCCCCCAGAAGACCAGCAACTTGAACCTCTAAGGGGTTCACAAAAGGAATGACGATATTGACTGGGCGATCAAAATCAATTCTTCCAGAAGCATAGACTGGAATTTAGATGGCGGTAGCAATGATGGGCGTGGCGGGACGATGAATAATCCGGTACTTTGGATCGGTAGCTTTAGTCGAGCGAGAAACAGTTGTTCGCGATGGAAGTATACCCAAGAAGAAGAGATCGTTGAAGACTGCGAAAAGATAACTCAGTGATAAATTTTCGGGATGATCAGAGGGATTGTAAGCTTTTTCGGAGAAATAAGAGTGTGTTGAGTAGTTGCAACCTTTGGTGAGGCATTCGAGTGCAATTTCCTTGATTCCAAGCGCAGTACGGGATTCATAAATGTGACGATCAATGTTATCACTGACAAGCTTCACTAAGTCGATCGCGTCGTGAGACTCCGGAATTGGAAATCTTAAATCTTGAAGCATTTTGCTATCAAGCTTTATATGGTCCTGTGTATAGTTTCGATTTGTTGAGCTTTGATGTGTAGAACGAACATTGATGGATGTTTGATTGTTTGCGAACTTGGAAAATATGAGAAGAGCTGCGAATTATAAATGGTTAAACGAATATAAAAGTCACTCGAGCAATGAATCGAATTTTCCCCTCCGAATCATATTAATTCGATTAAGGACTATAGTCATACCTGTGAACACCATGACCGTGAACTGAGGAACTTACCCCAATACTCACTGAATAGTGCCTTTCTTCCTGACAACCGAACAAACCTCTCTGAGGGTTTGAAGAAGGTAAAGATGATATTATCATCGTCATCGAGCCTTTGGTATCCTTATTGAGCTCTCTATCTTTTCCGACATGATTGTCGGAGGCATATGGTCTTTTCACTTAATGAAGTTGTGAATTAAAACAAAGTGGTCTTATTAGAAACTCTTCAGTGCCGCGTGTGAATTTTACGTAAGCATATTCAGTCACTTGCTCAAACTTTGTACTCATAGATTCCATCAAGAAGTAAGTTTACCCTTCTTAACAGAATTCCGACATTACATCTCCTTGAAACTCTTCAGATGAGCAATGAAGTCGAACAGACTCGATATGAATAACCATCATCTAACCTGGCAAGCCATCTCCTGGGACAGCGGAAACGGTGATGGGAAATTTCTAACCATCTTATTCAACACCAAGGAATTTCACATCTCATTAATCCCATCATCTTCGTCAGATATCATCGAAGGGCCAACAATCACCAACTACGATGCTCTATTCGAAGCAGAAGATGAGCTGACCAGTTCATCATCATCTTTGGATTCTCTCAGAGGAATCGAAAATTTGGTCTACGAGGCTGGCGAAACAATTTGGAGAGAACCCGCCCAATATTTGATTCTTGGTTTTATAGTTCCATGCCAATACCTCGTATGAAACTTTCGTTTCTCACCCTCCGGCTACCAACTTGTACCAGGCAACGAAACATCTGTATATAGATCTGATTCAAAAAATCTCCATTCAGTTTTGCCAATAACTTGTCCAGACTCCGGATCAGTTTTTCTGACCCAATGCTGGTAGGACCTGGATATCTGAGAAGCGACGAGACGTGCGGTAACTTCTTTGATTGAATTTATTCGAGCTTCCGAATTCTCATCGATATGGGATAGAAAAGCGTACGATACACATCGGGGAGGGGGATCGAAGGAAGTGAGTCATATGAACACAATTTTTTGACACTCAGATTCGGCAATTCCTTCGCTGATTTAAAAAGTCTTTGTAGGAAAAGATGCCAGGTGATGTGGATGCTGGGTAGAAAAGCAATCAAGGTAAAGAGTGATCTTATTCAAGAATGAGAATGATGTTGATAAGCTTTGAGTAGACGGTGAAAACCTGATTGATGAGCGGTCTCACGATATCGAACAAAGGATTTTGATCAGATTCAAACCATCCACACATGTTCCAACAGTTGAAAACCTACTCGTACCTGCCGAGTTTGGTGTTAGCTGCATAACAAGTGTTGCTAGTTGACTCATCATCAAATGATCTCTTTCAGTATGGAATCAGAGCTCCAGAAGTGACTTGAAACGCTTGTCATGTTGATGATTCCCCAAGATTCATTCTAATGAAGCAAACGGACATTCCGAACTTAAGAAGGACTAGCAAGTATTCTGTCGCGGCTTCGGCTCAAAATATATGAATAGACAATTCGATTGATTTTGATACTATGCTCGATATTATATGTACGTGCCGTTTGGAAGAGTACAAAAAAAGATGCTATTCTAGATCATAACATTGAATGTTTAGTAGAAGAAACAAACATTAGCTATTTACTAGTAATGGCGACTATCCCCTTTAGAAGCATCGGCCGAACCTCAGTACCTACCGAGCTACCCAAAACCTAAAAGGGGTAGGTAGGTGTAGGTAGGTAGAGTGCTAGAATGCGGGGTAAAACACGAAAATGTTTGTTTTGTATGACAATCGCGATATCAATCTGTGTGTCTTATCCACCTGTTACATACTCTTCATCTATAATTATAAGAGAATAGAATGATGAAGATTCGCCCTACTTTACTACCTTACTACCTTTCACGAAATCGTTATAGATATTACCTACAAGGCATTTATTGCTATAGTCGGCTGGATAGCGTGTCTATTTTTGAACCTCATGTTTGTTTGTTTGCTTTCTTTTTCCTCAGCGCCAGCTGAAGCTGAATCATAACCACCACCTATTTGAGCTCAATTGGCGTCAATAATAAACTTTACTTTGTAGCTAGTTTCCATCACATGATGTCCTTCATCGATGTTAAGATTCACAATTGGAGTGTGAATATTGAACTTTGGTGGATGCATTATTCACAACAGTCAGGCGGATCGGTCTTAATGCTGATGGCGATTGTCGATAGGAAGATTCCCACTCCTGGCGGATAGAACTAAGCACTAATAGGAAAGGTTGACAGGAACTTAGTACGAAGTAGTTTGAATATATTAGTCGCACAACTACGACGCATCGAACAAGCCACCCCTAATCCCCAATGCTATTGTGACGACTTCTGAGTGAGCCTCTGATAGAATAGGGGTTCAACAGTCAGATTGACGCTGCAGAGCAGGATCACAATATCATGAATGGAGTTAGAGCCAACAAATCAACAGTCTCCAGCCCCAATCTAATTTACGAGTCCACCATTGAACATGCGAAAATCAATTGTGTAAGCAGCGAATCCTGTGCTCCGTACGGAAGTTACGGAAAATTTGCCAACGATGTACCGGTAAGATGGTTTTCCATTCCTTCTCATCTGAAAAGGGTTTTCACATGTGGATCTCAACGATGGCCCGGGCCAATTTAATATAAATCCCCATGCCATGAGAAGGGAGTGAAATGGGAGTGGGCTGAGCTCCAAGCTCTGACGACCGTATTGAATACGTGCTCTGTAAACTCCAACCAGCTATACTATATGGCACGTTGAGTGGGTATTCAACGATAATAAATTATCAGATCGTTATATGCGGTTAGTACCCGCGGCTTGACAGGATAAACTGATCTAACCTACAAGTTTCCCGGCACAGGAGTAAACTTATTTTGACGTAAGTAGAGACTGACACTGATAGGTCGAATTCCGTGAAACCCGAGAGTGGAATTCTTACTCCACGTTAAAAGTTCATGCCAGCGAGGTGCAGAAAAAAAAACAATGGGTCATCAGAAGAAAACAGTAATTGGGCTGTGTTGGCGAACCAAAGGGGATATCATGCGTAGGATTGAATGGTACTTAATATACTTAGATAATATTCGGTATCATCGTACTACTGCTTTATATACCTGAGCTTTCCCATTTCGACTCTCATCTTCTGATTTGATTTTCCTAATCGTCTATGTTTGTGCTTATGCACGTGATTCCCCTTTGTTGTACAGGGCCCTTGAGCATATTTTTGTATTCATTCCTCATCTAGCAATTTTACAACGCTCTTCATTCACAAGCGTGTCCTTAATTCGTGGTCCATACCTACACGCCAAGTCATTCACTATTGGGGTGTATCTAAGATTGGGTCGTGTCGATTTTTTATTTAATCTCCGCTAATCGCTAATCTTACTTTACCGCATTAAAACACATTTTATTAAAGCTCTGTCGCACGAGAAAAATAAAACTGGCGAATTTGACACTTTGGTCAAAGCAACTATTATGGATTCGTCGTCTGAAGTTAGGAGTAAGAAGGTGTGGCCGTTAAAGGAGATCAGAGAGTTGGTGGAGCAAGGTCACGCGATTGTTATATCAGAGGGATATGTGTTAAAGTTGGATGCATGGCTCAACCGTCACCCCGGTGGTGCAAAAGTTATTCTACACGTTGTAGGAAGAGATGCTACCGTTGAATTGGATGCGTGAGTTGTTGATATAAGCAGGATTGTGGAATGAACTGTAGGAGCTGACTCTATCTAGATTTCATAGTAAGGAGGTCAAGGCCCAGATGGCCCGTTATCGAATTGGTAAATTGGAAGAACCATGGGCAAACGTTATACCCCCTATTCAAAGACAATCACTTCGGATACCAGAAAATGAGGCCGAAAAAGAACCTTCAACACCTATCACCGAAATACCTTTGGTTGATGTCACCGTCACCGAAAATCTCTTGGCTGTACCGCGTCAAGCAAATCCGGACAGCGACGCGAGCTCCACCGCCTCTTCCATTTTTGATGAAGAGGGTCTACGACTTCGAAATCGAACTGAAGGAAGTTCAGTTGATTCCGAGGAGATTCCCGATCTGGAAACAAAGATAATGGACGCCACAGAACTGGAGACTAGATTCCAAGCTCTAATTGCGAGATTAGAAAACGAAGGTTTATACGACAGCAAACTATCGGCGTATGTAACGGAAATTCTACGATGTACAATTTTATTTTCTCTCTCGATGGTTTTTCTTCGTATGGAATGGTATGCTACCAGTGCAGCATTCCTCGGTATGTTTTGGCATCAAATCGTCGCTACGGCACATGACGCAGGTCATTTGGCAGTAACCCACGATTACAACATCGATTTCTTGATCGGTGGTGTGGTTTTGAATTTTTGTGGTGGACTTTCGATAGGCTGGTGGAAACGCAATCACAATATTCATCACATTGTTACGAATTCGCCAACCCATGATCAAGATCTTCAGATCCTACCTTTCATCGCCATCTCGCCGGTATTTTTCGATTCTTTGTACTCGACAGCTTCTGAATGTATTATGCACTATAATTGGTTTGCAAAGTTCATGGTCCCAAAACAAGCATGGACATACTATTTCCTCCTCTCGGTCGCACGCTTCAATCTCTACTACCTGGCCTGGGACTTTATCCTCCGCGACCTCGGCACCAAACTCCACCGCAAACAACGAATTTTCGAACTCGTCGGTCAAATCTTCTTCTGGACTTGGTTTGGTTATTTCCTCGTCTACCGCAGTATCCCTACCGTCTCCCAACGCATTATTTTCTGTCTCATCTGTCACATGATCACCCTCCCACTACATCTCCAATTAACAGTCTCCCACTTCTCCATGTCGACCGAAGAATCAGAACCAAGCGAACACTGGATCCAACGCATGTTCCGCACAACCATGGATGTAGATTGTCCTACGTGGATGGATTGGTTCCATGGCGGTCTCCAATTCCAAGTCACCCATCATCTATTTCCACGCATGCCGAGACATAATTTACGTAAAGCGAGTGGATACGTGAAGGAATTCTGCGCGGAAACGGGGTTGAAATATGAAGTTTATGGGTTTGGAGAGAGTAATGGGAGGATGCTGGATAGACTTGTGGAGGTGGCCAGACAGGCGAGGTATTTGAAGGATTGTCAGGATAGTATTGTGAGTAAGGGGAGTATTTGCATGGGCATTGGGATTGAGGTTGTTTCTGTTTGTTTATGTGGATGTGAGCTTGGCATTGCATTGCATTGCATTTTATGGATGCTACTTCATGGCATGTTCGATGCGAAAATTAGGAGTGTGCATATGTATATCTTGGGCGTTGGTAGATTGTCATAGATTATAGTAGTATATAAGCACATAATGCATAATGCCGATACATCATTCAATAGGATCTATAATCGATATCACTCTATAAATCTTTACCAAGTCATGGCAAAAAGAAATACCCTGATACTCGAAATCGATAAACGCTCTGTTTCGGTGCTTGACTTTAGATTTTCTGATCGAAGAACTGAAGATCCATATCCACAATCGTCCTCACAATCATCCACCTCACAACCCCCCATCCTCCTCCTCCCCACAACGCTCCAACCCCAAACCTCAAAATCCTAAACCCTGACACCCCAAACCCTGACATCCCAAACATTTCAAACCCGACTCCCTGGTTCTCCGCCCCGCTCTTTCTCTACCCCATCATCCCATCATCCAATCCCGGTTCCTGCGCGCGTACTTATCTCCGGTATCCCGGTATCCCCAACATCCCACTTTCATTCCTCCCATCCTATTTCCCATTCTCGTTTGTCTCGTTCTACTTCTATATTTACTTCTCTTTGTTTGGGTCTGGTTTGTTCGATGATGGCTCGTAGTGTACGCTTATCCTTGTAATCCTTGTTATTCCAGTTATCGAATTCGTGCTTGTTTAGCTTTTTGTTTTTTTGTCTATCTATAGGAGAGATTAGACAATCGTGTGCCTGGGAATGATCGGCAATGTATTTAGGCAGCTGTGCTATGGGTGGGAACGTGGATTTGAGATTCAGCTCGGCAAGATAGAGTAGATAGGTTAAGAATTGTGATGTGGAGAATTTGTTGCGCTTGCTATTATTGTTGAAAGCTAAAGGGATAGGGAAAGATTATTGATGGTTTGGAAGAGTGAAATGGGTTGGAGGTGGGATGCTGAGATGCTGCGGTTCTGATTAAAGTGATGGGAACAATTTTTCTTTGTGGAAGCGAGAGAACTGGGGGGAAACTGTGACGAACTGGGTTCACATGGGCATTTGCTACAATAAGTAGGAAGATATAAGAAGGAATGTGATGAGATAGATGGGAATGCATTTTAGATATACAAGTACGGCTTCAATACCAAAAAATGTAATGTGTTTGAGGATTGTAAATATGCGCTGTGGAATCTGAGAAACAGAGATATCTTGCCAATCAAAATTATTGCTAATCAAATGAATGGCTTGCTTATGAAAAGCTTTAGGATATATAATGAGATACTTGTAGTATTTGATGTAGAATTTTCTAAGAATTAGAAACTGCAGAGTATGATGTTAGATTAGATGCATGGTCAAGATTGTTTTATTAGGGGTCTTTGAGTGAGAAAGTCCAAGTCGTCGCGGTTGCGTGCGGGAAATATTTGAATGATGTTCATCTAACGAGAAGACTTTGGGGTTTTTCTGAGGAAACTCAGATTGTTAGCAAATTTGCGTGCTATGGGATGAACCAAAGATGGAAAATCAGGTGATCGTTTATATTCTAGAAAGAAATGATCTCATTTGACATTATGTTGAGTAACTTCACAAAAGTCGATTGATGTTATCATCTAATCATAGCGGTTATATAAATTTAAGGTCTGTGTATTTTGTCTTGGTATGATAGGATTGTTAGATGAATATTTGTAGTCGGATGACATTTCGAGCGAATCGAAGGGTTCTCTGGCCGGAGTTTCTGAGTACAGATATCGTGCCTGGTTGAATAACTTCTCCAGATATGAGTAAGTCCTTCGAGGTCTAGCTAGTAGCTACTCGCGGGCTAGTATGGCTACTTGGTCGCTGTTCCGATAGTACCACCACTTCAATTCTTGTGAATCGATCAGAAGGACCATTTCACGTTATTTAATCTCTTCTCCATGAAATTCTTTTCGTTGGGGTGGTTCGGATTGTTCGGATATGAGATTTGATGTAATGACAGACCTTTAGTGAAAGATGATAAAAGACTATGAAGATGTTATACAAGAAGAGAACTCTACTGGAACCCATGTTGATTCCATGAGTCCAAGTTCTATAATTTTCTTGGATTGATAAGGGGACTGAGCTATGGTCTGGTAATTAAGAGTGTCGTGGAGCGATGTGAGTTGCGCGAATGCCCTAGGTTCTACATACGTCCTAGTCTCATTCTTTGGATTCGATATTCAATTTTCTTCAACATGAGATACATCAAATAATGGGCCTCGAGATCCATAGTTGCATTGAGAATATGCTGATGATCTTGAAAATAAATTGAAGAAATGAAGGATAGTTGTTGGATAACTCAAAATTTAAAATCTCTCATGCTCGAGAAAATTTTATGGAATGAATAACCACGAAGAGAGGAGAGTAGAGAACATCATCTGAATGTTCCAAATTTGATTGAGAAATCTAAACTGATCTTTATACAGTGCAATTCGAAAGGCTCCTAGCATTTTCAACTGCCCTCTCTGTTGGAAGAAGATGTGAAAGGTTATCTTCTCTTTTTTCTCATATATATCGGACTTTCGTTAACTGTTTCTATTAATTTAAGATTACATACTATTTCCACATGAATATCTCATAGGGTTATAGCTTTGGTGAAGTAAAGTCTAGGACCAAACATGTATAACATTGCAAAATAGAGTACATACTTACAACATGGCAAGTTATCATCAATGTTTAAATGTCTCTTTATAATATGAAGACAGACCTCGGGTGTCAAAGATATTGGCTCTTACCTTTAAAGTCTATGGTCTCTCAGAGAGAGAATCTTGGTCCATCGTACCCATGTAGTCTCAGGTACTCGACGTTGCAATTCACTTTTGGCAAGAGAGAGATCACTAGCTTCCTTTTGAGACCTTTAAAAGGCCCCTTTGGATCTTGTTCTTCTGTCTTTCTTCTTCCTTCTTACATAATATCTTATTTCGTTACATCTTTTATGTTTAGTCCCTTTAAATATATTATCCGTATCCATAGAGACAAGCTTGCTTCGATTGCTTTACCTGTTGCTTACACCGGTCCTAACCACTGAAGAAAATTATGGCATTCCTGCTAGGAATCGAGTTCCGCAGAAGATTCGCACAACTATTTAAAATCAATCCTAGCTTGACAAACAGTGAGTTCAATTGATGGCCAAGATGATTCGATTCTTCCTTGCCATCTTACGTTGATACTAATATGATCCCAAAGATGAGGCCTACGATATCCTGGAGGCGAATCTTTTTGACATTCCAAAGACCTGTCTCGAAATTGCTAAAAAGACGCAAGAATCGATTCAAGAGAGAGAGTTTTGGATCCCGAAGAGGGCTCTGGAACAATTGGAAGTTAGTGAAAGACCAGAGAAGAAAATCAGATCAAGCCAGACACCAGAACAGAGTCGGCCGAACATCATTATTAATAAAAATCTACCAGATCAAGAGGCTCACGATTCAAATAACCAACAAGTGAAGTCAAAAGAGATCATTGAAATTTATGATAGTGACGATGAAACGAGGCAAGAAATCGTTGTTGACGATGAGCGAAGTATCGTTCAGAATGACGCAGATCCTTGTTCATTCGATCAAGCTGTTACTGGCTCGAAAAGAGAATTCTCGGATATTGAGATATTGGATGAATGGGATATCGACAGCGTTAACTCTGGAAATGAATCTGACTCAGAGACTGACTACGGTAGCCACCAATCAAGGTCTACCTTTGATCTTCACATGAAGTCTGTCGAAAAACTCAAGGCAAGTGAGTCAACTGAGCCGACTAAGTCAGCCGAGTCAATCAAGCCAATCAGGTCGGAAACGCTTGCAACGCCATTGGTTTTAGAAAAAGCTGGCACCCTATTCCACAGAACACTAAGACCTGTCAGGATAGACGATGAACAAACATTGACAGGATCAGGCTCTAAGGAATATTATGAAGAAATCGTCTCGGCTCACAATTCCGCAGAGAAATTTCTACATGAGAGCCGAGATAATTTGATCGAGTTTCAAGCTGAGTGTCGAGCTGGAGACAGCGTTCTGGTTCAGGATGATAAATATCCATCTCTTTTTGCTTGATCAAAGGCTGACCCTAAGAAGCTGAAAATGAGTCTCAAACTCACTGTGCCATCATCGTATATTCATACAACGAAGTAAGTTGACTATGACTCAAGATTTGAACGAACTGACTTTGCAAGGACGGGGAACCAATGGCCCACATACGATATTTTGAAAGAGGCTGCGATACCATAATTGGTGAGATGGCCAGTCCAAGGGAGCTATTCATGATTTCCAGATGTGCGAATATCTCGAAAGCCGAAATAAGAGCCAAAATCAGAGTCGATTTCCGTGGTAAAGGTGATAATACCAGTGACTCAAAACCCGACCTTATCGAAGAAGAGTATCATAGAAGCGCAGATAGGTACTTCTATCGATTTCGCTACGATACTTCACTCCAAAGCTTTTCTGAAGCAAAGAAAATAGCGACACAAAGCGAAAATTCTCTTTTCGAGGAATGCGAGAGTTGCGCCTTCAATAGAGTCAGATGTGAGGCGAATCATCAACCGCTAAGGATATTGAACTGGAATAAAAAACAAAAAGCCGCTACTGGGTTCATTTACAAAGGTACAAGATATCAACTAAAAGACTTCATTTATTTCATTTCAAAACCTACTTCCGGTTCAAAAGAACCGCACCCGTACAGTATTGGTCAAATACAGAATATCAAGGTCACCTGCTTGAAAAGTCAGCCCTGTGTCAAGTTGACCGTGGATAACTACGAACGTTATGACGACCACTTTCGGCTTAAGAGATCGGAGGAAACCGAAATGAACATCCCGTTTGCAACCCACGATAATAGAAGAGTATTCCGGTGGAACTCTAAACTGTTAAATCCAAAGGATCTTGACGGTCACTGCTTTGTAAGGCACATAGAGCAAATTGAAGATCTAAACATTTACAAGGACCTCGACGACACATTTTGGGTCCAGGAATATATTCCTCACGACTTGGAAAAGAATTCAATTACAGCGGAAGACTTGGAACTAATGCCTAAGAAAGATTTGACGTTTTTGAAAGGAAATGAAAAGAGGCTTGAGAGAGAAAGAAAGCAAGAAATGAGTAAGATGGATGGTGCCAAATTGAATACTCTGGTGGGCTCACACGAATCCCTTTAGAAGTTCTTGTAACACGTACTGATTAAATTACAAGGATATCTTCAGTGGCGCAGGTGGATTTAGCCAAGGCTTGCATGAAAGCGGAGTGATAGGGATTAGCTATGCCATTGAGTCTGATACCGCAGCATGCAAGACCTTCAGACGAAATTTCGAGGACGCAATTGTGTACAACTGTGATGCAGGCAAGTTCTTGGAACTGGCGATGAAGATTGAAGACGGGGTCGGTACAGGAATTTCACTTGATGACAATGGAGATGAAATGTCGAAGATACCGTTAAGAGGAGATATCGATATGATTATAGGAGGGCCACCTTGCCAAGGATGGAGCAAAGTGAACCGTCAGAATAACCCCAAAAAGATACAGAAGAATCCCATCTGTCCTATGAGAGAGTCAATCGCCACATATCTCTCTTACGTGGAGTTTTATAGACCCAAATATTGCTTATTGGAAAATGTCACTGGCCTAAAATACCACCCGGTAGGTTTCTCTACACAGAATATATTGACATTTTGAATCTTGCTAAAAGTCATGACAGCTCAACGGTAGTGATATTCCGAATTGTTCCTCTGACGAGGGCCTTTTGACAAGCGGCGCGATAAAGTGAGTATACACTCCAAGAAATCTTCAAGGTAGGATGCAACTAACAAAAACTACAGATTCATCTTCCGAGTTCTTACATGTTTAGGATATCAATGTCAATATGCAACTCTGCAAGCAGGGGCCTATGGTGTACCTTCGTCTAGAAACCGTGTGATAATCTGGGCCTCTCTACCAGGATACAAGCTCCCGAAATATCCTGAGCCGACAAATGTTTTTAATCGTATCCCCAAAGATGCCCCATATACCAGGAGATCAGCTCCACATCGACCACTTACTATACAGCATTGTACCTCAGACTTACCTCTATGGGAGTTTAAAAATCCTCACAAAGAAATTCAGCAAACGGCAGAGCAAGAGTCTAGCCAAATAAATCGTGGTAAGACTATTGCTCAATACCCGATCTTGAAGCATCAAAAACTTGTCGGTTTAGAAAAGCAAGACTATGCCTCTCCACATTTGTGCGAGTTTCAGAGGCAAGCGCGCAAATCTGTTCCCGATCAACTTCTGCATAACCATGTGACGGGCAGGATTTCGGCGAAACAGGCTGAGCGAGTGTGCAGCATTCCACTCATAGCTGGTGCCGATTACAGGAGAATGAACGAGGAATTGTTGTCCAACAATTTGAGGAAAGAATCAGAGAGATGTCGGGAAAATGTTGATTACCGGAATAGAAAGTTGGAGGGAAGATATGGAAGACTGTCTGAGAATGAGACCTTCAAAATAATAACTACGGGGAATGATCAATATTCGACGAACAGTTGGGTGTGTTCTCCGCAATTTTTTCCAATAGCTGACAATAGATTGAAATACTGACGAGAATTATACTAGATGCTCAATCCGAACTTGCATAGGCCATACACAATAAGGGAAATAGCTAGAGCTATGGGGTTCTCAGATAGCTTCATATGGGATTTGGAAACCACAAAAGTGTCCGATGCTCTCAAACAAATTGGTAATGCTGTGCCACCCCCAATTGCACGAGCACTCGGAAACGAACTGCGAAAAGTTTTACAAGGACGAGATATCAGCAGAGAGAACGAAGATGATGAGGATGTCGTGGATCAAGAATACATTGCAATTGGTGACCAAGCCGACCAAAATTTGGACATGGTCAAGGAGACATTGGCTGGGAGTGAGACGGATTCTGATGAAGAAATCGACGATCTTATAATTGCACAACTCGAAAGGGAATTCAACCGAAGCACGGGCGATAAAACAGACACTGGAAGCGAGGAAGAGGATGAGAAAAATTCAGACACAGACAAGGAAGTGTCGGACGATCGTGGCGTAGATATTGACGCGTATATAAAAGATCAAGAAGATCAAGAAGACCTTGAATCCGACAACGAGGACGAGGAGAATTGGAACACAGATGAGAAAATTTCAAGTAAAGGTGATGATGATCCCGAGTCCAAGGACAAGAACGCGCAGAATCTGGATATAGATGCAGAAATTTCAAACGAGAGTGAAGCGGAAGTTGATGAAGACTTGCAAAACCAAGAGAATCTTGAACCTGAGGACAAGCAAAATTGGAACGCAACTGAAGAGCTTTCAGACGAGAGTGAACTGGAGGTTGATGAAGACTCGGAAGATCAGGAAGGTCAAGAAAAATTTGAATCTGATGACGAGGGTGAGCAGAATTTAGATACAGATGAGGAAATGTCAGGAAGTGATGTGGATGTTGATGAAGACATGAAGGATCAAGACGATTTAGTATCCGCGGACGAGGAAGACATGAATGAGAATATGGACTCGGAAGAAGAATTTTTGATCAACATGAGAATTCAGAGGAAGGAAAGAATCAATAATGGAAGAAGCAGGGCTGACGCAATTGTGATTGATGGTTCAGAATGATGGGTTGCTTCCGGATTCTGAGGAGTCCCAAGGGATATTTTGCGATACTTTGCAGAATTTTTAATCGGGCATTTGGATTTTATTTATAAGGATATAGATCTCTTGAACTTATTTATTTACAAAAAATTGAATTTTCAAGCACAAAAAGAAAATCTTCGTAGCAGAGATTTGGAAAGGGATTGATAAGCGCTCATGTATCTAATTCTTCAGTTATCAGACGTCGTACTCCAACTTCTTTTCGCCGACTGGCATGTAGGTTTTGAACCACATTACTGCTTGAGAAAAGGCAGCTCGCTTTGCGTAGATTTCATCTCTACTCATTCGACCTTTGCTTGGCAATCTAACAGCAAACGCGTATTCAACACCCGAGAATAAGTTCATTTGCCAAGGAACTCTTGGTGGCAACTTGCCCGACTTGATGGCATCTTTCTCTGCGCTGGTTGATATAACCATGTCGATGAGTTCCTTCTCTTGTTCGTGACGAGTTCGTACGTCAACAGATCGATCGTCCCATGCCTGAGCAAGAGATAGTGGTACTTGGACTAGAATCATTCAAAGATATTAGATGATGAATAGATGAAAGAGAGCTGAAAGCTGTAGGAATGTATGAAACAGTCATTATTACTCGTTCCATATGCTGATGTTTTCAAACGCCCAGGATGAGCCATGAACGCGGCTTCGATACGACAAGGACGCTCTTGGATTAAATTCATGACTAGGAAGGTTAGCATGTGTCTTGAAACTGCTCTTGGTCTCACTGAAGAATTGAACTGACGTGGAAGGGCACCACCGCTGTATCCCACTCCACCGACGTGGGTACAGTTTCGATTATTGCGAAGGTAGTCCAAGGCGTTCTTGATCATAGAGGCTCGTTTTCTCTCACTTGGCTCGCTACTAGGATCCCTGGTCTCCCATGGGCCGGAGTCTACTAATATTATCAGCTCTTGCCAGACACGATGAAGCCTTTCTATTCAGAACCTTCTATCTTCTGATCTATCCTTTGATGCTTGCCCCAATAGTTAATGACTACAGTGATATAACCGGCCTAAAACTTGTTAGACTATTTGATCAAACCAGAACAGTGTAGTGTACCCTGGCAAATTCATCTGCACTTTGTTTGTTGTTAGAATTTAGTCTCGCTATCGAATTATGCGTACACAGGAACTCACAGAGCGCGATTGCTCGGGACTATACCTGAGCTACCAGAAAAATAAATGAGGCCCTGATTTTTCTTGATATTGTCGGAGGTAGGCTCTGCAATATACACGACATCCCCTTTCAGTACAGCATCTTCAGATTTTGGTCTCACGCTATAGAAAAGGTTAGCTGATGTTATTGAAGGAATGAGGCCTGCTATGTATAATAAGGGTGCCTACATTTCAGCATTACCTGTAAAAACGTCTGTAGTTCTAAGAATTATATTTGCTGAATTTCTGCGAAGCTCGGTAACCCTTGACGATAGACGATTGGAAATCTGATCCCAGAACGGGGAAGCAATGGTCCAGGCTGAGTATACTGCTACCACTACTGTAATCCAAAACAAAATACTTCGGATTCCCAATCTATTCTCGCTAGCCTCAATAGGCTCAAGTTCAGGCACCTCAAAATCAGGTACCTCATAAAGATCCAAGCCGCTCATATTTACATCAAATCGATATATCAGCTACAATCTTGAGGAGAACAGATTAATATGAATCGGTAAAATCTGGGTCGTTCGTCGTCTAGATTATAAGCATAATCTGAGAAGGAATTAGGAATAGAATTGTACTTAGTAAGAGAACACATAGTGTATGGAATGAGCTGAAATTTTACTAGATAATAGAATACAATGAATAGGAAATAAGGAACAAGGAATCAAAGTATTCCGTTTTCGTCAAACGAAGCTTGTATGCCTTGATATTAAGGATTGGGAGCTTGACCTTCCGCTAGTACAGGAAGAGCATAGCGCTTCGGACACGTGATGGAGAAACCCTATCTTTAAAACAGCTCGTCTGGCTAGAGATAATTCGTTGCAAAATAACTCAGAATTCAAACATATGGTTCCTTGGTATACTGAAGAGATTCGGAAGAGAAATCTCGTAAGAACGAGATATGACTATTGATACTCGCACGGGATACGATATGATTGAGGTCACCGTAGCTTTTGATTAGCGAACACCTTTATCTCAAATCACTCCACATCACCACCCAGTTTTGATACGTGTGAGCGAAATTATCGGAGATTCGTTACTAATGATCTATCCGAATTATCTCGATAAAACTCGATGGCGGTAGAGAATGTAACATGTTCTCCAGGGGTGGGATCTCGGACGGCGGGAAACCAGGAGCAACTTATGAGATCACCTGAACAAGATAATCTCAAGCAGCTTACCGCCCAGTCCGCAGACGAGCTCCCCAAATCTGTCCCAGCAATTAAGGATTCAAATCAACTACGAACACCTTCACCAAGCCCTCCTCCACTGCGTTCATCACAATCCCAGGTGTCTGTGAATGAGTTGCGGCCTGGGAATGCAGATGAAACCCCACTTGTGCAAACTGGCAATAACAGTTCTGGGTCTTTCCATAAATTGGAGAACCTTCCTTCTTTTGCCAATCATAATGGAACAGATGAATTGGCTTTACCGCCTCCCATATCAAAATTTCTTCCGCCTTCTGATCAATTGGATGATATCGCAGAGGAAAAAGTTGAGAATCACCGGAAATTGTCCTTGAAGGGTTCTGTGGAAGAAAAGGTTCTTAAACTATCAGCTGCTGAGATGACGGAATTAGCGTCGGCTCCTGAATCTTTACCAATGATTTCGCCCAGCAAGTTGTTGACTCCAGATACAAGCCAAGGTAACGCTGAAGAACACGGGCGTAAAAGATCTGGTTCTGACGTATCTCGCATGGAGCTTGAGGACCAACCATCTGAATCGACAGATCGTCGTAATATTGTTACACCGGAATCTGTAAAATTCTCCGCAGACATTAATGGTGAACACCGAGGCTATCAAGGGGTAATCCAGGCCAATGCTAGTACCAGAAGGCCCACGATTTTACCCTCTTCCCGAGCCTTTAGTGCTCAGCCGCCACCAACTCAATGGCCATCATACTCCAAGCCAAGTGCCATTCCGACATCCCCAAAAAGAAAACCATTTTATATTGGTCGTGGCCCTGAATCATTGAACCTCAACCTCGAAGGGTTGGCGACCCCCATTGTGACTAATGGGGCGAGCAAATCCTCGCAATTGCCAGACATTCCACCACCATCGCCAATACCCCAATCGATTCCTCTGCCCCCAATGTCAATTCCTACTTATCTACAGCTCGAGCTTTCCGCTACAAGGCCATCGCCTTTGTACATATATCGTTCAGCTTCGACAGAATTTCCTTATGAATCATCAAAAGTTAAATTTGAGCGTTTATTGAATTTTTTGTTATTACCGCCACAACTTGAACAAGTCCTATATTTTGGATCTTTCGCATGTCTTGACGCCTGGCTCTATACCTTTACCATTTTACCATTGCGATTTTTCAAAGCTTTAGGCATTCTTATTTCATGGTGGGGTCATGTTCTAGCCAAGGAATGTCGCTTCATTAGTGGTTTTATTTATCATGGTACAAGCCGGATGTGGCAGCGACGAAATGAACGTCGCAGTGCCGATTCTCTTTCGCCCACGAGGAGTATGTCACGTCCTAGTAGACCTTCGGTGTCAACAACAACCTCATTTCAGTCTCAAGCTGGAAGACCGTCTGAAACTTTCAGGCGTACCGGTACTACTGAAACTACTCCAAGACTAAACGGTGAGCGTAGATCAAGACAAGGTTGGGCCCGTAGACATCGACGTATGAAGTCTCAACCTTCTTCATTATCTTCATACAACAAAGCAGATCTTTTGCAAGGAGCTGTAATAATTTTCAGTTCATTTTTCTTAATGAAGTTAGATGCGAGCAGGATGTATCATAGTATTAGAGCGCAGTCAGCAATTAGACTGTATGTTATATATAATCTCCTAGAGGTATGTCAACCCGTCAAGCCTGACAAGCATGGTAACTCATTCTTTTGTAGGTATTTGATCGCCTTGCGGCAGCGCTAGGCCAGGACATTTTTGAATGCTTATTTTCCGACGAAACGCTAGAACGGGATAGTGATGGTAGAAGTAAGGTATTGCGACCTCTTGGCATGTTTATACTTGCTCTTATATACAATGTTGTTCATGCAGCGGCATTGTTCACCCAGGTCGTCACCTTGAATGTTGCTGTAAACTCATACTCCAACGCTCTCATCACTCTATTGTTATCGAATCAATTCGTGGAAGTCAAAGGGACTGTTTTCAAGAAGTTTGAAAAGGACAACCTCTTCCAGCTCACATGTGCCGATGTTGTGGAAAGATTTCAGCTATGGCTTATGCTCATGATTATTGCATTGCGAAATATTGTTGAGATGGGTGGCTTCAGCAGTATGGCATCATCGGCATCAGAAGCAACTAGTCCTTTGCGTACAAGCTCAATGCTTCCAAACAGCTTTACTATTCTTCCAGTATGGTCAGGCGAAGTTCTTTCACCATTTTTCATAGTGATAGGCAGTGAGATGTTGGTAGATTGGATCAAACATGCATACATCAGCAAGTTCAATGGTGTCAAACCAGCAATCTATCAACGATTCCTCGATGTTCTGGCCAAGGATTATTATACAAATGTAGGTATTCAGTCTCAAATTGCATATTTTAGCTAACTGTTCTAGGCCTTTGTCAACCAGAACCTTATTAAACGTCTTGGTCTTCCTGTTATACCGCTGTCTTGTCTTTTTATCCGGGCCGCATTTCAAACATATCACATGTTTCTCGCGACTCATCTTCCTCCACCACTTCCATCAACAGCGACATCTTTATCAGTCGAATCATCTCCAGCAACGACAGCAGCTCTCGAACATTTCGATACCATCGTCCGCAAAGCGCTCGGTCGATCAACATTCGGGTTACCAAACCCAGACTCGATTACACCATGGTACCTACCTAGCACTGACGATGTGATTGCATCTCTTACCATGATTGTCTTCTTCCTGGGTGCATTCTTTGTTCTTCTCGCCTGCAAACTTGTTCTCGGAATGCTCTTACTAAAGTTTGCACGTAATCGTTATTCTACCATGAAAAGGCGTGAGCATCGAAGCTACGAGACTGGTGGAAAGAGAGTAGGTGGCTGGGGTATGGTAGAAGTCGATGATGATAAGAAACGATGGATTTATGATGATGACCCGGAGACGTTGAAGAAGTTGAGAGAAAAGGAAAGGCTGGCGAGAGATAAGGAGAAGGTGGGAGCCGTACATGATTTTTCTAAAATTAGTAGATATGAGATGGCGGCGAAGAGAATATGGTGAAATTAGAAGCATACTGCTTTTACATAGAATGAGAATACTAAGTGAAACATCCCTCCCGGCAACTGTGTGTTGACACCAGCCTCCACATCAGTTGCCTAACCAATCAATCTTTCATTCGACGTTCGAACTTGATTGTATTTTGTTCCCATTATGCATCTCTAGAAATTTCAAAGCCAGTTATTCCTCTGAAGTGGCATTCTTAAACTCTGGGATGTACGCCAAATTGCCAATCTGGTCGCTATTTTACATACTGCTTGCTAAATATGAAATTGAATAAAAATTCAAGACATTCTGAGTGTCTATTCCTCCGCGCCCAATTCTCTGCATGAGATGGTTCCGATGTAAAATATCAGCAAGGTCTTTTGAAGTAGATAATTATATACGTTTGACTCCTGATAACTCAATTTTGTATACTTTCGAGCACACATACCGTTCAACCAAGAGCGATATGAATTCAATGTTAGGGTTAAAGAATGGTGAAACTTAGATTTAAGAGACTGGATTGAATAAAACAGAAGCAGAAAAAATACAGGGGCTCGAGGAATTCTCGATGAAGATAAAGAACTCGATTACTGAGAATCGAAAATTTCGTGGTAGATTTTCAGGATATCATAGTCTGTGCGTAGACCTTCTAAATATAAATGCCGTCGGCAACCGGTGCGGGACAAGTAGAGTGGAACATAGTGTATCACGCTGCTTTTCAGGCGTGTGGAGTACAACGACCCCTAATGAAGTTAATACCAAATGTGGGCCATCAACACCCTTTGTGGCCAGCTGCAGAAGATGGACAGAACATCATAAAAAATCGCCAAACGCACTGATAAGTGATATTCAGCTCTTCTCAGCCCCTTGATACACAAAACCTTTGTCAAATCTACTACCCCCGCTGTGTATAGACATAAGCTACCATGAGAACGAAAGCACTTGTCGTCAATAGTCCCGGCGGTGAGTTTGTTTATCGCGATGTGGAAGTGAACGACGACATTCGTGATACCGAGGTACTTGTCCAAATCGTAGCAACTGGAATTTGTCATACCGATATCAATTTTAGTCAACATGATATTGATGGAATGTTTCCAGCTATTCTGGGTCATGAAGGTCAGTAAGACATAAAAACAAGTCTGGTATCACATGATAGACTGACGTGTATCACAGGAGCTGGCATAATCTCTAAGGTGGGACTAAAAGTCACCAATGTTGAGGTCGGAGATTATGTCATTCTCAGTTATACAAGTTGTGGAGAATGTAAATATTGTATGAGAAAGCAGACGAGCTTTTGCGGTGATTGGGAGCTGGATAATTTCGGAATAGGTAGAGGCGAGGATGGAAGCAAGGCTTATGAAATCCCATCTGAAGAGGAAGGAGGCGGGTCGGAAATCACGAGTCACTTTTTCGGCCAGAGTTGTAAGTCATCATCTCAGTTGCCTTAATCTAGCAAACCGAGTTAATCGTCAACAGGCTTCTCTAACTTTGCGGTGGCCAATGCCAGATGTTGTATTAGAGTTGGAGGGCCGGGAAGTGATTTGGATCTTTCGTCACTTGCACCACTAGGTTGTGGTATCATGGCAGGTGCTGGTGGTGAGTTTCTTTAATTGACCCAACCTTTCTCCCAGAACAAATAGCACTAAAAAGAGAATGTAGCAATGCTCAACGTCCTCAAACCATCCTCGGAAGATATCGTATGCGTTGTTGGAGTAGGTGCCGTTGGCTTAGCGGCTATTATGGCGCTCAATCTTCTAGAAAGAAAGCCCAGACAAATCATCGCAGTTGATATGCTGGACGAAAGGTTAAAATTGGCTAAAAATTATGGAGCAACACATGTCATCAAACCAACCAAAGAAAACGGGCTGCAAAGTACACTGAAACGAATAACAAACTTTGAGGGGATTGATGCTTCGATCGACACCACTGGTAGACCAGAAGTTGTTGCAGACTTATTGGAGGCAACAGCAAAATTGGGAACAGTATGCAGTGTAGGAGTTGGAGAGGTATGTGTCGCTAAATCCCATTCAATCCTTGCCCAAAAGTCTGATTGAACATATAGCTTGATGCTGCTGTGTCGATAAATATGTTTAATGCGGTCAATACTGGGCGAAAATTTGTAGGCTGCTGTATGGGAAATTCGTACCCACCTGAATTTCTTCCAATACTTATCCAAGGCTGGAAAGACGGAATGTTTCCGTTCACGGACTTGATCACGAGGTACGACGCAGAAGATATGGAGAAGGCTAAAGCAGATGTTTTGAGTGGAAAGGCTGTCAAAGCAGTCCTGACCTGGGGAGCTCCCAATGAGTAAATGATGCGACACTGGAGTCATATTCGGTCATGGCTTGATTCTTATTTGAAGGTATCAAAATGTTATGTACAAGAAGTGCTTCTTAACAGAAAGTACAAACTGACATATCAGTAATAGTAGCCTTATGAATAAAGCTCAAAAATGCCCACACGATTGAATAATTCCCACAAATTCGTTCCCACTACAATCTATTAAGTCTGCATCTGTTGCAAACTCTTAATTCGCATTGACGACATGCAAAAATGAAATGTCCCAGAGTATGATGACAACCCTCACGCTGATGAGATCCTTGTAGTTTGCGCCATGTATTGTGCTCACACGCATGATTCTGTCGAAGATCCTCCGCAGCTACCGCAATTTGAGCTTCAATTGTAGATCCTTGTCCGATGGCTTGATAGGGGCGCTCGAGTAGTTGATGACCAGGTCTGCGGTTGACAATCTCTGTAGCACGAGCTATCAACTGGTCCTCGTGCCATTGTGGGCATCTACAAGTCTTCCATTTCAGCCCACAGATATAACAAAATGTGGCTCCGCATCGGCATCTATAATTTGAAGTATCAGCGTATGTTAAAGACTTGAAAGGTAGGTGCGATGAGGGACTTACTTTATGTGGTTGCATCCAACTTCAAGCTTCACCATATCCCAGCATGAATAACATCTTTGCCAGCCACTGTCCCTAGCAAGATCCAAAACCTCCTACAGCACGGTATCATTTGAGCAATCTCCAATGTGAGCTTCCAGCTTGCACAAGGTGTGGGTCTTCGTGCCGCAGCCATCACAGGTAGCTACGTTATTGACGATTCTGGACGGGTGGATGAAAGCCGAGCAAGACTGTAAGCAGCAATAAGTTCTGTTTGGTGTTTCAAATTCGATTCTCTTCTCTTCAAAAGCATGCACAATATAACTTGTGAGGAAAAGACGGACACTAGCGATAGTGATTGGTTCGTTGCAGCAGCGAGGTGGGAAGAGTGATTCATCGCTCATTGACAAGTGAAAGAGCTGCTCAAGGCAGGTACGACAATACTCATGGCGGCATGAGCCAGGAACTCGTGCTGCATCGCAGAAGCTAATCTCATCGCGACAGATGACGCATGTACTCTTAGAGGGTAAAGATCTAGAGGCTGCCCAAGTAGAAGACTCCGCATTTAAGCCAATTACCGAACTGCAATCTGTTCCATCCAACTCTGCTGCGTTGTTGTTCTTTGAGTTGTCGCCAGAGACATACAGTATTTGAAGCTTTTGCAAGACTTCCTCATTCAAGATCTGTGTATTTGGTGCAACAGGCGGAGTAACCTGTGATGTAGTAGCCGATTTTGAAGGACCTCGATATAATTGTAAAGCCATCGAATGATCTCTTAAAAGAGCGTCATCGCGTGATACCGCTTCAGTCAAAACAGCCCCATCAGTTTGAACGGCCAATGCAATACTTCTCGTCATTCGTTGATCCGACAAGAATAAAGCAATGTTCTCCAATTCCTCTTTCTGCATTTTGAATGCAACTGAGATGTCGGATACATCGTCAGGGCGATCTTTTCCCTTCGAAGATGAGTACTCAATGTCATCGAGCTGAAGCTGAATGATCAACTTCGCAGTCTCATCATCGATATCCGCAAAGCAATTATTACCAGCAAGCATGTAGTCCATATTGGCCACCTGCATTCGGCTATCAGGTGCGGGAGAGAAGATTTGTGGTTGAGAATTGATAGTAGGAAAGAAAAATTTACAAAATTGTGTGCGAGAAAGGTTACCAGCAAGCACACTAAGCGACCAACTGCGCTTGCTGAATTGCCTGTAGTGAATATATCCAAACTTTTCAATCAGCTTCAAATTTTTGGCGCTTCAACATTCACCCGAATTCCGGTGATTTCAAGATTGGAAGCAATCTCTATTCTTTCCCATAGTGCGTTTTATTGGCTAATTAGCGAATCGACCTCTAACTTTCATTTTCACCAAACGAGCAACAGCAAGTCTAGGTTGCAAGTTATGAGAGGACAGTGCTGTGGAAATGAATATCGCTGTGTCTATACCCCAAGAAGAGGTTTGCAATAGGTAATCATCTCCTCGCATGTATCCTTTGATGAAAAAAAGGGCCTCGATATTATTGCAGTAGAAGGGTAAAGGAGAGCGTGGATTCGAGGGAATGAAAGGAGTGCAGGTTCGCTTTGCAAGTTTGATGAATGACCCCAACGCGGAACAAGAGCTTGGAGTTCATAACATAATCATCTCGTTAGGGGGCATATTTTGAGTGTAGATGTAACGTTAAGATAAAGGTAGTTTACAGTTCCTAATATAGTTAAGAAGTTCAAAACTCTCAATGAGATCAAGAATGAGAGCATGTGAATATCTTCAAAGTGAACATACGTAGATTATAATCAACTGCCAGAATAATGCGCAGCGAAAATTGTTGAATAGTCAACTAACATCTAAAGACAAAACACAAGCCCAAAACTCCTCTCCCTAATTATTAACCCCACAAAGAAAGCATCGCCTAAATCCCTCCAGCATCGACAATCCCCCACCCCAACCTTGCCTTCTCCTCCAACTCTCCCTTCAAATTAACTTCCCGCCCTCTACTCCTATCCTTCCAATCCACATACCCAATCGCATCATCCGTCGCCCTCCATTCCTCCCAACCCTGTTCAATTCTCCCCACCAACTGAGCCGTCGTAGGTCTTTCGCTACTTCTCATCTTCAGCATCCCCGCCACCAAGTTCTTCAGTCCACTTGTAAATGGTTTGTCGCTCATCCTCGACATTGCCCACTGATATTCAAATTGCTGGGGTGGGGGAATCCCCGTCATCATTGTGAAGACTGTTGCTCCTAGCGACCAAATCTCTGAGGCTGGCCCCCAGGTTTCGGTTCCGGCTAATTGTTCCTGTACCATTGTTAGTAAAGAAATATTTATCAAATTTTCAAGGAACAGACGTACGGGAGGTTGAAAAAACCAACTCAATCCCTCTTTCTTCTCACTTTTTGCCACATTCCCGCCCGGGAACCCCGTCACAACTGCTTTCCCAAACCCGCCCAATTTACACTGCCCATATGTTGCTCCACCACCTGTTCTCTTAAACCAAATCTGTTTAGGACTAACATCTCTTATCAAAATAGGTTGCCAATCATCATCATGTTTTTGCCAATCGTCTTTTGTATCCGTCTGTTTCACACCCGTATGCAACCACAAAAGCGCCTTGTTAATATTGGATAAAACATGCCAGCACAAACTTTCAGGCAGGGAAAAGCGATTGGGATTTGGGGTAGCATGGGCACGCCAGGCTGCCATATCGGTAAATTTGGGGTAGTTTTCTGGGTTTGGAAGAATGAGGTCAAGTGAGCCTTGATTCATATCTTCGTAGATAGCTATATTGGCGGTTATACCAGCACGTTTTGTGGAGCCTGCAAGAGAGTCTGTGTGGATTATATCAACGAGGCCAACAATGTTCGGGTGGTTCAAAATGCGGGAGAGCGGAACACCAGCTGTAGGGAGGATGGCGGAGGCAAGACTTATTTTCCATTCTGGATTTTTGTCGGATGAGACCTTTTTGTCGGGGATGGGAAAACCGAGAAAAGATTCATTGTCTTTAATCCTGATTAGTTGAATGCTCTTGACATTGTCGCCAACTTCCAAAGGATTGCGAAGGACGTATTTAGGTTGGATGGGAGTGGAATGAACGTTGTTGGATGCCATTGTGCTGGTTCGGATCTCCAAATAGCAATGCACTTTTTTCGAAGTTAAATGTTTGAGCTTCTTGACGGCTTGAATAAAGCTACCTCTAAAATACAAAGGAATCTAGCGAGGTATGCAAACTTATGAATTCAACTGGTATGTTTTAGTAACAGGTCATCCCACAGACAAAGAACCTAAAAGAACACAAAGAAAGGCATGTTCATTTGCAAACAATTGTTTAATTGAATAGACTAATATCACGCTCTTAGTAATTAAAATCTTCGTAGCTGAGGTTTTTGCCCTGAAGCCACTCAACCAAGGTATTACGCAAACTAGTTCCTGTACATAGGTACCATCGATTAGCAGAATCTTCGGAAAAGTCACCCTTTTCGATTCTTCTTTCTTTTAACGTAGCGCCGGATTCCCGTAATTTGCTGACGGCAGTTGATTCATTCATACCATCACAGCCTCCCATTTCACCTGTAATAAACAATGTTGCATGAGAACTAAGATTGGGATACCTTTCGAAGGTATCCGAAACCAGTCCCAGGTCAGCTAAACGAACAGTCCAATAAAGTTGCAATCGTGATAAATCCAATTCGGAAACTTGAGAAATGAGTGGCGTAATTCCAACACCGCCAGCAACAAAAGAAACTTTTCCTTCAGAGCCTTGGTCGATGAAAAATTCTCCCCCAAACCCATTGAGGGGTACTTCCAACTCTGATCTAATGTTGTGGCGAAATAGGAAATCAGTGACAATTCCAACCTTGCGAATTGTAATCTCGAATGTATCGTATGTGTTTGTGGGATCTTTGGACGAAGAAACTGTGAAAGTTCGTATGTAATCGTCGTTCAAACTTTTTGGATCATCATCACGCATGTGGCTATAGCCAATATCAAGTTCATCTTTGAAATCCAAGGCGACATATTGGCCGGGTTTCCAATGGCTGATTTTATCTTCACTCAAAATCTTGAATCGAAACCTTGCTACAGTTGGTGACAAGATTTTTCGCTCAATGAGTTTAGCATGCATCTTGCTGCCCGCATCCTTGAACCCGACAGCGGCTTCGGAAGCTAGAAACCGGACGGATGGGTTATAGGGTGAACGTTCACCTTCTTCGCCTCGAAAACTCAATCCATCAGTAACATATCGAATACCTTCCACGTGTATCTTAACTGCAAGATTGGTATGTGCAATTAAATTAGTAGCCTTCTCCCCAGCAAGTATTTCGGTTCTCCCAGTCAGGTATACGACATCGCCAGTATTGAAATCTGGGAACACTAGTCCTGCCTGAGGTGTAGTCGTGAGATTTCCAAGTGTTTGATAAAGACGATTACCAGAATACTCGGGATAAACAATTATTAGTCCATTAGTATCGTTAGACAGGATTCGGACAAAGCCCGGTGGTCCACCTCTGTGATTCGTATCCATGTCAGAATCATGATTCGAGGAAGAAATGAAGAACAGGTCAGATCGTGTTATCAGATCGACTGCTTCTATAGGGAGAGGTAATGCCGTGGAAACCAGTGTGGGCTTCGGCAATCGGGGAGTAATGTGCTTTTTGTTCAGGTACTTGGGACAATTACCTGCAATTGCATTAGTATATAACAATAGCTGCTAAGGCAATGAGAAGCTCACCTAGACTTTGCTCTATTTTGATGACTAGTGAGGCTTCAGCCACTGAATTTCCAGCAGTCTCTTTCAATGCGCCTGCAGCCATCCGACCATATAGTTTGACTCGTTTTCTAGATTCGAGGTCGATCGCAAGACCACCGACCATTCTCCCCAGTATTTCTTCTCGTTTGACTTGTCCATCTGCATTCTTTCCCAGCAAAATTTCGGAGACTGGATCATATTGGAGGTCGATTGTAGCTTTCACAGCAATGACAGACTGCGCGACCGGCCAGGCAAAACCAGCCTCCCCGCCCCATAATGTAGTCCATGGTCTGCTGGAAGAATCGAGTGTGCCGAGGGCGAGTAATGGTGATCGGGCCAATAGGTTCGCAGCGAATGGTGAAAGGTATGGTGAGGTTGGGTTTTCGTTCTGAGGTACTCGTAGACGTTTGTGCATTTCCTCCTCTCCAGCATGCCATTCTGTTGCCATCTGAAACGCCATTGCGACTTATATTTAATTGTCTGTTATGCTTATGTAGCTTTCGATGTAGCAAAGTTGTCAAAGTTATTCAAGGTGGAATTGAACGAAGAATAAGCCCTACATTTGAGGAGCAGTAAGCGTAAGTCGTCATTCTCGGTGACATTCCTTCCATAAGCCGTAATTCTTGTTATGCTGGTTTGTTTGTAAGAGGAATCGAGCACAAAGCTATCCTATCAAGCGGGGTTACTGTATGTGAGATTGAAAAGTGATTAGTAATCCGGGGTTTGAGACCCCGCGATTTCAGCATTTGAACTGGCAATCTCCGATGAGGTCTCCGACGGCCATTTCTGGATTGGTGAATGTTATTTGACCTACCCAAGTTAGTGAATGTAACAATCCAGAATATGATGACTTTATAATCGTAGTCATATTCAAGATCTGTCTAGGTACAGCTGCTTGGCAGCTAATCCGATTGTGAATTGATCCTCTATTACTTTCGTACTTTAGCCGAGACTGCTCAATTTCCAACACATTTTTGAGTGTTCAAAGCATGCATATCTGGCATACTCTGTAAGAAAACTAGACCTTACTCTAATCTAAGTATTATCTGTGTCTATCATTTTCGATATTCAACTTACAGTCTCTTAGTATCCAGCTCGGATTCATGAGTATTACCACAGTCAGTCATCCAATGTAGCATTTTAGCTGATAGTCTACACGAGGCTCAACACTGACTTCGGCTGGTTACATTGCACCACACCATTGTACGGTTCAAATTTACAGTAAAACTTGGAAAGTCTCACATCCGAAAACCCACTCTATCTGTATGTCCAAAATCAAATTTAAATAACTAATCTACGATGACTCCGTATTCCAAATCTATACTCTTCCGACTCCTGACTCAATTTCAATCGTTAAACTGCTACTACAAGCAGCAATATCAAATCATACCTCCATTCTTCTTAGCTTCTTCAACACGTCTTGCCATCTTCTGTAGATGCTCCACCCTATGGTCAATGCCGCCCGCACTGAAATGGAGTATCAAACCTTGATAAGTCTTCTCCATATTCTTCTTAGCAATTTTGAACATTTGCTCCTCATATTCCTCAATAGCCTGCTTCAAACTACCCTTTAAATCAACCTCAAAATTTTCTTTCTGCTTTAAAAGAGCATGCGTGAGCAGCATGGCATCATTCAGAGCAACATTGACGCCAACTCCCGCAAATGGTGTCATCAAATGAGCTGCATCTCCGAGAAGTGTGACACCAGAACGACTTGGCCAGTTGAATCCAACCGGAAGCATATACAATGATCGAACGATAAGGCTATCAGTTGCTTCAGACAGAAGCCTCTTCAAGTCATCATGTACATCTCCGAAGTACTGTTCTGTGAGTTGTTTGCGGGCCTCGATGGGGTTTTCCCAGTCGATACCACAATCTTTGATCCAATTCTCGGGCTTGCGTACCCCGGCATACACTCGAATACCATCATAGCCATTTCGTTGGCAGATTATACCGCGACCTTCATCAAACATGAAGAAGCTGCCTTTGCCAACATAATCAGAAAGCCATTGCTTGTTCTCTGAAACGTTGCGAGCGGTCAATTCCACCATGCTAATCCCGGAATACTCGGGCAACTGCGCCGAGACAAGAGGTCGAACCTTTGACCAGGCGCCATCAGCTCCAATAACAAGATCAAAGCCTTCTTCGACGTGATTTGCAAAGTGAAGATCAAATTGCGCGGGATTACTCTCGCTTGGTTTGACGTTAACAATCTTACTGTTCCAGTGAATAGAGTCTGGCTCGACGGAGTCTAGAAGAATGTCACGAAGTCTGGCACGATCAATCTCTGGGCGATCTCTAGCCTGGCGGATAGAATCACTCTTGTCGTTATTGTTATTTTCATCCCAGGCAACAGTACCATCAGCCTTTACCAGCTTCATGGAGTCTGCATCTGGCAGAGAGTGTTTTTGAAATTCTTCCATGAGACCGGCTTCGCGAAGAGCGCGTTGACCCATGTCAGCGTGGAGGTCGATTATGCCACCTTGTGAACGAGCATCTCGGTTGGCGTCTAGCTCGAAGATTGTGCACTTGATTCCGTTGTGTTGGAGCAGACGAGCCAAAGTTAGACCACCAGGTCCGGCACCGGCTATGGCAATTTTGGGGACTGGCATGATTATTTCTTACTCTCTGTGCTGATTGAGAAAGCTTTGTGGAGATTCGTTAAAAGTTTTGGAAGAAGTAAGTCGAGATTTGATAATGACGATGATGATGAATATTTGTAAGATATTCATGAGAGGTACATTCCACTCCTTATATATCAACACGTTCTCTACCGACAGCCATGTAGTTCTACTTCAAAATTCCGTCACGAAATCGAAGGAGCGGCGAACACGCAAATTACATTATTAACTCCGTGCCTCGAGGGTCAAGATATTTCTTCTCCTGAAGAGGCTTCATTTTGCGATGCTGACGGAAGATGGCCATCTTGTAGATTGTATTTTTTGGCGACTGGTAGGTGTGTACCTTGCGATGAAAAACTCTGACCCATAGAGAAGACTCCTGATTTGCTGCCGCGCAAGATACGACTGCTCAGAAAGTGAGGCTGAAACTACGCTAATCAATTCAAGGTGGAGTAGATTGTGTTGCGCCACAACATGAAGCCACTAATGTCGGACTCTCCGTGGATTCATGCCGATTCCCTCTTCACGAAGTCGATGTTCACAGAACCTGAGAAATGATGAACTCTCGAATCATTCTTTGGCTAATTGTGAATACGAAGGGATACCGAAAGCATTCCAACCAAAACGCAACAACCAACCATGGTCGGTGTACCCACGAGCAACAGGTGTGATAACTGTCGGATAAGGAAGAAAAAGGTAGATACGTATTCCTACTCGAATTGTATTGCTCAAAGTTGTAATTGAACTAACACGCGAGATACAAAGTGTGGAGAGCAGCGTCCATCTTGCGCAGAATGCATTCGTAGTGGTTGGGACTGTCCGGGATACCCGCCTCGTTGGAAATTCGTGAACGAAACGCCTAGACTAAAGAAATTGTATCTTCGGAGGAAGTACATCTTTGAATCCAATACTACAAGCCCAGATGTTATGAGACCAGACAGGGTTATTCTTAGTCCCATGGAATCTGGTTCAGATTTGTTTCTTTCTGAGAACTCTAAAGTAATTTCTCTAGAAATTCCCCGATTTCATGGCAATAATCCCCTGGCTACTAAATTGATGTACTGTTTGGGATGCAAAGTGAAGGGGCATCTAGTACCTCTTTGGCTGTTTGGATCATTTTTCCAATACATACCTGGTCATTTGGGTCACAACATCGCTCTCGATGACGCCATAACTTGCGTTTGCAGTTTGTATTTCGATAGGTCTTCGAATGAATATACCAAATCGAAAGCCGTCTACAGAAATTACATTCGAGCCTTATCTTCATTACAAAAGTGTCTAGTCGAAGAAAGTCTCCGTTTTCAATCGGAAACATTGTGTGCTTCTCTTTTATTGCAAATGTGCGAAGTGAGTATCAATATTGCACAACTATATTTGATATGGGTGACTAATGCGCAAACAGCTTCTTGTGAATGTCGATAAAGCCAAATGGATTGATCTCGCTCGTGGAACTTCTCAGCTCATCCAAGCACGGGGGGTTGGTCGTTACAAAGATCCATTTGATCTCGGAATGCTTGAATCTCAGCTGAGTTACATTGTATGCTATCATTGTACTGACTCGATGAAAAAGTGCAGGACGTCGCTGACAATAGATTTCATACACAGGTTATCCAATCTGCCAGATTCAAGGAAAACTGCTATCTCCGCCAACCAGAATGGCGGGCACTCCTTGCAACTACATCTACATGGCCTAGCAACACAATCACCATCAAAGAACTCAAATCTCTGGAATTACGGATCCAGCTTTGCCATCAGCTATTCGAACTACCCAGCATTCTTTTGGAAGCTTCGTCTTTTCTTCAGAATTCCGGTAGACTATTGGCAGGCTCTTGTCCTGTTTTCATGGATAATATTCTTGAAATTTGTTCTAAGATGAAGGCATGGCTAAGTTGCGAAGTAGAGCCTCACATCTTTCCCAATCTATGGGATACGGATGGAACTGCAATTCAATATTCGGACCCGATTGCAGGTGTTGTAGACTGCGTGGCTAATACAACACTTTTGACGCTTGATAAAGTTATCTGTTCGTTATATCATGGAATAAAGGCAACACACGCAGTTAATACATTCGATGAGCCGGAAATCGTAGAGGGGTGGTATCGCCGTGCGCTAGTGGCATACGATTTCGTGCAAGGCGAGTCAACATCTGCCGCTAAACCTCTAGAAATAGGGTTGCGACAATTCCAATCATCTAGTCCGAAGCCACTCGCCGAGACATAATTATGAAGCTTGGGCGCTATAATTGGCTCTTTTATGCACATTGTGCTCCATTACATCTTGCCTGTTAAAATTATTCAATTCCGCAATACATGGCAATCCACAAAGCTTGGATGGCGAGGCTTATCTTTAGATGATCGATGAGCTCAGCCATTAATACCGCGTTGCCTGAAAAGCATTAATCGCAGACATTTGTCGTCTCCGTCTGGGGCATTCGTTCGAAGGAAAGATTATACCATTTTCTAAGTCATACCACACCTCATAGGAACATATATCTACAGTTCAGGGAGGCGGGTAGTGACCGAGGCAAAGTTTATGGTACACGTGTTAGATGCACATCAAATGCTCGACATGAGCTCGCTCTCAACACGCTTTCTAGATCGCTATAACTTTGAGCATCGCAAAAGTCTGGCGGTAGAATACTAATAGTATACTTCTAAATTATCAGACTATTCGGCTTGCCCAATGGGTGGCAAATTGAGGCCAGCTCGCGCATGGAGCTGATAAAATATTAAGGGTAATTGAGTGAAATTTCAAACAAATTGGACTTGCTTCTCTAGAATTCATATCAATACTAAACATCCGCTTTTAAACAATGTCATGCATAGCTCATTCACTACTCCGTGTAACGATCGGGAATGGTTTATGTATCAAATAATACAGAATCGCGGATGATGTTATCGATTGAGCAATAGTCGTGTTTACAAGGGAAAGGAAGATTCTTAGCATTTGATGTATGTTTATTTTGGGTGGGTAAAAAGGACTTTTTGTTTCACTCCTGTGCGAATGTCGATTTGATAGTATAAAAGAGATTGAAATACTGTGGCGAAAAAGAAAGTTGTCAGATAAGATAGAGAATGCAATGCAACGCAGTCGAGAATAAAAGGACGAGATAAACGATTGATTGAGACAGTAAAGTATAAAATAGAAGGGTAAAGCTGACCATCCCGCTGCCATCCCATAAATCATGTTACAAAAGCATTAAGCGACCCAACTTCCTCCCCCCCTTCCAAAAACGAGCCCGTCACATAAAAACGTAACCCATGATTCCGGTGACAGTACCGACACACCAAATTGCAAATAAACCCCCAGCTATGGGTCAAAAGTCTGACATAAATTTTGCGCTCCCAGAAAAAGTACCACCAAAGGTAAATCAGGCCAATCCGTAATATTCCTTGGTAAAATCGTAGCTCTGTCTAAAGTGTTATTCCACAGGTACAATCTGAAACATTACGAGTGTTTGTAAAACCAAACCATTGCAAATACCAAAGCGTACCGCAAGAATAGCATTTCCAAAAACAGCTCGAGGGGTGAAATGGCTGCGATATGCGGCAACTCAAGCAAGTGTAAGGCACAGTTAGCCGATGACAAGAATGTTCGATGTCATCAATAACAATATTACTAGCTCTGGCTAGATTGAGACGAGTTTTTAACAGACCTAATATCTCAATCTGTCGTCTGAATCTATCTTTGAATTGCGCCGAAGTGATTTGCAAAAAAAGAAAAAATATTGCATTATTTAACTCAGCTAGCTTTAGTTCCGGGGGCCAACTACCAACTTTTCATCAAAAACGGTGGGCCAGACTACGACACAATTCCGTTCACACTAATCACCTGTTTGCTATGCGTGTAAATCGAAAGTCCATAGATATAGGTCAAGCATCACGTAATCCATGTTCTCGCGCAGCTCGACATGCGTGTCTGTGCCATCAGGAAAATTCACTACGCCATCTGTGGTGTCAATTTTGCTCTTTCGACATCTCTGTTCCTCGGCAAACACTAAACCGAGAGCCAGGAGCGAGGAAAATATCAAGGCTATGAGACTGAGCCCCCATAAATATGACCACAGGTATCTCGTTTGAACTTGTATCATCTGATCTGAAGCTATTGCGACTTGCATAGTATTTAAGCTAATGGAACGAAATACGAAAATGACCAAGATCGGGCCACAAGGCGTGTCGAGTCCATTGCTATAGTGACCTCCAGTCTACTCGTACTTAAACTTGTGAAATAAAATCGGTGCATAGGTGCTGAGATACGACAATCTCAATTTTGCCGTAGTGATAGCATGGCGAGACCTATTGAATCTTCTATGCTATCAAAGAAAGATGTCAATTGGCAGAAGTCGTTCCAATTGCCGTAATCTGGAATCAATCAAGATCGGCCATCTTGGGTCATGAGAATTCCGACCTATGTTGGACAAGCGACTGGTACGTCCTCGAACCCCCCAGCGCAGCCTTTCTGAGATTGTCCAGAGCATCACTGTATGATATCTGCTAAAATTCGTACCATAGCAAATAAATGGCAATAGTCTAGCGAGAAATCGATCGTGCCACCAAGAAAAGTATAGTCGTCGATGCTTACAGGTAAATAATTCAAATCTCTTGACGAGTTGATAATGCAAAGAGCAAACTTTGCCTCTTGGCTTGGACGAGATTGACACAAGTCATGAGCTGTGTGTTCCGATGCCCATAGTTCACCCTGTAGAAACTCTTTTACTGCACTTGTGGCTCTGAGATCTATCCATGATTGGGCCAGAACATGGTCAGGTTCATTTTGCTATGTTGATCGAGCTCCAATTCGTTTGAGAGCTTGTGACATTTTGGAGACGGAAATAGCTCTCCAAGAGAAATTAATGCCATCAGTAGAAAAATTTAACGAAGGAAAGTGGGAGTGATTCTCATGAGAAAGAAAAGAAAGTGTAGAGCTCCACGTTCAAGTGCTATATCATATCGTCAGTCGTGAGTTGATATTCGTATCAAATGTTGAATTCTATCAAAATATGAACCTAGTAACCAATATCCCTACTACGTGCATGGCCCTGCTATATGCACAATCTCAATCTCCCATTTTGAATCACTTTAAAAATTAATAATAATTCCAATTTATAAGATATAGAGCTAGCAATTTAATTAATAAATAATAAGATAGAATATTATCTAAAAATATAAAAATATTTTTAATTTTTGAATCTCAATAAAACTTGTAGTATTCGATCTTTATTAGATTGTAATATAATCTTCTTTTTTTTCTCTTTGAATTATTAGTTTTTATAATATTAGAGAGTTCTATAATCTTTATGGATATTAGATTTATAGTAGAAGAAGCTTTTGGAAGCTTTTTATTTCTTTTGATTAGAGATTTTATTGATTTTAGAGTCTTTTTAATCTCCTCTTTTGTATTATATATAATCTAATAATTGATCTCCTTTTGTAATACTTTCTCTTTTGTTTTAACTTTTTTTTATTTCTTTTTAGCTTTCTTTTTAGTTTTTAGCTAAAGTTTAGCTTCTTTTTTTTATTTTTTTTTAAATACTTTATTTTTTTGATATATTTTAGTTTTAATAATAGCAAAAAGTAATTATAAAAATATACTATTTCCTTTTTCTTCAATAAGATTTAAACACTTTGAACAAACTCTTTTCCTTTTTTTCGAGTTTTAGAGATTATTTTAGATCTTTAGTTCTATATTTTTATATAGTAGTTTCAATTTCTAATATAATTATAGTTTTAAAAAGCTTTAAAGTGATTTTATAAATGGGAGTGTAATAAAATTCTAGTTTTATTTTATGTATCGCTTTTGATATATATAGTGTAGTAAGAGTATCTCTGTGAGTTCTAAATGATGTAGGTAGTATAAGAGGAGCTTTTGGAGTAATGGAATTGATTATAAAATCTTGATTTATAGGATATATACCTGTTTTTTCGAAAGATTGTAAGATATTATGTTTTATATAAATGAGCTCTTAGGCCTTTTTAAATAAATCTCAAAACATATATTTTGTTATATCAATAATCCCTTTGCTATTATATATCAAATCATTTAATAATGTATTATAATTCATTGTGAGGAGATCGAAAATTCCAATATTAAGAGATTGTAATTGATATATAGAATAAGGAAAGAGAATTAAAATAATTATTTTTAATTCATTATATTTTGAAAGGAATTCTATATTGATATAACTAAAATAACTATCTACAATAAATAAATAATACTTTCTATTTGTTTTGTAATATATAGTAAGGTCAAATACGTTTATAAGTTAATATAAGTTAAAAGCATTCAATGATTATTTATTGCTTGAAGCTTCAAAATAAGCTTTATTCTTTTCCTCTATATTCTGAACCTATAAATCTTATAAATCCTTAGAATCTTCTTTATAAATAAGAGCAGAAAAAAGAACTATTCTATCAGCACATATAACAACTAATAAAGTAATAAATTCTCTTAATCTATTTTATTTAGTTTTTATTACTCTATTTCTATTATAAGTATTAGCACTTATTATCCTTTTTATAGTTTTCTCTATATTAATTATAAAATCCTTTTTATTCTAATTATATATATATTTCAACTAAATATTATATTTTATAATCACTTTTATCAACTAAATCAAAAAAAAAAGAATATTAGTAAAAGCGTTTTAAATAATAAAAATCAATAACAATATAAAATAATTTAAATCAGATTATAAAAATAATCAAATATAATAATATTATTAGCTTTTATACACAAATTATTAATACAATAAAGATATTAATTTTTAAGATACTTTAAATATCTTTTAACAAAATTACTAATCCAATTCTTTCCTATCTTTTTATTTAAAATCTTTTTTATAAGATTTCTAATTATATAATTTGTAAAAGGAATAGATTTTTATATTAACTTATTGATTTAATTAATTAAAACCTTTTCTTAATTATTAGAAAATACTTATTTTATATTGAAAAAGAACTATTTTCTTGAAATGATTTTATTTTTATATTATTGGAAGAATATAGATTAATCGATTTTAAAGAAATTAGCTATCTTAATATAATTAGAGGCTTGATTCCCTTTCAAACAATCTAATACAAGCTCTATACAAGCCTCTATAGGCATATCATTAATATTTAAAGCTATAATATCGATATTTTCAAAGTCGTACACATAGCAGGGACATACACGTAATAGGGATAACAGTTATCAAGTCGGTGACTAAGCAAGAAGCACTCACAGTACTCAGGATCTCGAATCTCTCAAGTTATAAGACAAGCAGAATGTCTCGGTTCTCCGGCGTTAACAATACTACTTCGCAGACTCGAATCTGTTTTCTCCAATACAGAGTAAGGGAACCCTATATTTCACATAGTCGAAATTCTGACCGACATTACAACTTCCACATATCCACGACGACATGCTTTAACTGCCCCTTCTTTCTATCAACTGTAAAACACTCTGGTCCTCGACAGTTCTCCAGCCACTTTTAAATTAAGAAATGGAAGTTCAAACCATATTCCGCACAGCCTTTACTTCAAATACCAAATATGCCCAATCTTCCAGGCCTTCTCAGACTACAGAAGGCTTGATAAACAAAGTTTAATCCTACACAATAACGCGGCATCGGGAATAGATACAGATAAGGAGAGAAATCGGAACATGCATGGAGTCCGAGACATGCCGCTCCGAGTATCATTTTAGCATGTTCTATCAAACGACTCAATTCCGGGATTGATGATGTTCATATACCCCAGTGGTCATTGAACCCTAATCATCGAGCGACGTCCTGCCCAATAACTCTGGCAATTCAACCGATTGTTCGACGCTTGATATCTCAGGCAAGTGCCTGTTTCAAAAGCTGGAGAGTGTTGCTGGCATTTGTGAAAGACACCACATGTTATTCGCCGACAAGCGTTTCAAATAGGCTGTCATTCCTTGCATTGTTTCCAATGCCAAAGTAAACAAGAAGTTTTAATTTCCGATCAGAATTTGGACGATTGCTCGAAATGAAATACCGCATACGAAAGTTAGTATGTGCATGGTTACAATCATTTTGCCATGATATGCCAATATCTGGGCGCCTTTGAAGTTTCCCAGTCGTGAAGTCTGCCTCTGAAATTCTCATTTACCCCCCACACGAATGATTGGGTTTTTTCCGTCAAATTCTATCTCAATAATTTCGCTCTTATTAAATTGCGGTTTCCGTGCTCTCTAGCTCCTTCGGTATGGTGTCGTCCATAGATATCGCGAAATGCATTAATTATGTCCGCGAACTCGACAATTCATAACTGCCGTGTATGATCTGTCACTCGATTTACAATCATCATGCTATGAAGGATTCCCAACAATACTGGAAACGAGCACGAAACAAGAGAAAGTGATTTCAATGGCCAAAGCTAAAAGCCCATAGTCACACTGCCTCGTAATTGTGGTGGACATTTCGGCAAGTGTGTTTCTTCCAACTACCGAGACCTTGCTTTTGTGTAGAAATTGGTCCCGTGACACAGTACTTTTCCAATCTTCCCCACACAACTTCATCCTCCACTTCATCCTCCACTTCGTCCTCCACTTCACCCAGAATTCCTCACTCCATGCGTGCATGAAGGTTGACCCATGTTCGGAATCGATTACCCGTTTACATACGATTGCATTTTCGGCAGCTCATGTTCGCATCGAGCTCAATCTTTGAAAGGATTCGCAGGTGCTTTACGAGCAGATATGCCAATTTACGAGGAAGGTGCCCTGCTTATGCCGCACATCCACGTGTACGAATGAGGGGGTCTTCATTGCTGCACATACGATTATTTCGGTCTTGCAATCATGGTAAGCGGTGTATCAATGAAAGATGTATGCATCACCATTCTTTATTCCTTAATGAAGACCATTCCCGTTGCTATTTGCCGATAGCGTTTAGTCCTACTCAAATGACTAAGCTGACAGCGGCCGTTAAGAAATAATCCGAGCATTGGTACAACTGCTAGTGAATGAAGTCACTCAACATCACGATTTCAAGCAAGTTCGAACCACTAGAGCCATGAATGTCATCTATCTTTGGTTATCTGTTCTCACATGAAACCGAGAAAAGATTCGGCAATTGCATCTGAGCTTGACGTCTCTCGTGGCTCGACGCCTCTAGAGTTCACTAGTCCGACTTTGGCGATAAATTTATTGACAAAATCAAGGACTTTGCGTTTCTTTAATTGCTTAGAAGTATGAGAATGATAAGCCGATCGAAGTACGGCATGATATTGTGGCAGATGCTTGTTCACCGTCGCTTATCATCACATCTCATATGTCGCTCCCTGCCTCAAATATGTATGCTTTAAGATCTATGGTTTGCTTCATTCTTTCCCTTTCATATTGTCCTACCGTCATACTCTGAACCAAATATAGTGGAATTCCACACAGCAGTGCTACCTCCTTCCATAATCTTCGTCTTGCACCATCGACGTTGGACCCGAATCTTCCATAGCATTGACGTGCTCCACAATATTGACTTCCTGCTTTGCACTTAATATATTGCTACCAAGGGTCTCTTTTATTATAACAATCGCTCGATTGTAAGTCGAAATTTATCACAAGAGCTTACCACGCTGTGCTATTTCTACATACCACACTACGAACAAAATGATCACAGATACGCTTTTGGATCTGTCCGTTCGGCATTGGCCTTCAATATTCATTGTTGTAATTGCCATCTATCTCGCTACCAATCGTTTCAATCGTGGTCTGAACAAATATCCAGGGCCCACTCTTGCTTCCTTCACAGATTGGTGGAGGGTCTACGACGTGTA